CCCAACTTGACCTTGATCACCATGTATTCGCCTTCATATTGTCATCAAATCCTCACAGCCACACGTTTCTTGCTTATCCACTAACGGCCCGCTGGTCGTCATATCACTTTCGTCTCGATCCTCCTCGAAGCACGCGAACGCACGACGCTTTCATCGCGTTCGCACCTCACCGATCATGGCTATCGTTAACATAATTCACTCACAATCCATCCGAAACTGATCTCACAATGGTGCACATCACAATTCTGCACCATGGTTATATTCGGTTTCATGAACCGGTAGAAGTGCTAAGTCAGACATTATATAAGGTCACTGGGTTATATGCAGAGTATCTGTCCAATACATGTTTCACAAGTTTTGACAAGCTCAACACAATATGGCATTCACAAGCTAAGGTCAGTCAATGTGGAGGCATGCAGCCAATTCTGCATTCTTGAATGCCTTGCACAGTGTGGGCTGTGTGAGAGTAGCATGTAATGGTCTAGAAAATATACGTACATATGATCGTGATAAACGTCTGAGCAGCTATGATGTTTCGTTTTCATTTGGAATACATAGGCAATCACGGCGATGAGGAGATGCGCATAGTATCAGTGAGAAAATGTGCAGAACGATGTCTATCGCATTACTTAGCAAGGTACACCTGTGAGGCCTCAGACCCAGAACATGTGCCCTGACCCACTGATAAGGATGTTCCTCTTTCGAAACTGAATGGCCACACCCTCCTGCTTGATCATGGCCAGCTGGACTGGTGGACCCTCCACAGGTGGAACTGGCGCCACCCATTCAGGTGCCCGCTCCTTCAATGTCGCATAGTCGACCTCACGCCCCTCCCTCTTCAGCTTCTTTCGGTACATCACCGAAATACCCTCTCCCATCCTGGGGAGCTTCATCTCTGAGTACCGTTCATTGAACGAGAGGACCATGGTCTCGACGAGGCCCGCAAGCACTGCATACCGCACCGGGTCCGGGTCCTGTGGATCGGGCAAGTTCTCGAGCTTCCACTCTGGTCCAATGTGCGATAGGAAATATTGCGTCTCGTAACCCAACAGCGGACGATGCTTGCCTCCTGCACAGATCCATGCATGCATGCGGTAGAGCGAGCGGAGTGGCGTATCTCGCGCACGATACGGAGGGAAGTAGTGCAGCCTCAAGTCGTCAGAGTGGAGTTCATCAGCAAGCTCGGGATGCTGGAGAAACTCGAAAGATGAGTACAGTGGCTGCAAAGCAAAATGCCAAGGGTAGGGCCAGAGGAGTAAGAAGAAATTGTGGAACGGTCTGCGGGTGTGGTGGATGATGAGGACGAGGGAGCGCGGCCAATTAGGGTCATACATGTGTTCCTTGTTAAAACGGACTTCGTCGGTGTCGTTGGGTGTGGGGACAAGGGCTGAGAGCGACGGAGTTAGCTGCAGAAAGACACGGAACTAACCTATCATACTAACATGGTGCCCAGAGTAGCTTGAACAACCCAGCCAGGATAAAGTCGCATAGATATCTGGATACAGTCATGGTAGAGAAAGACCGTCTAAGCTTCGGAATAGAGATCGTAAGATGGAGATGAGATGAGTCGCGCTCACGTGTGATCATTGCGTTTCCGGGCAACAAAGATCAAATTTCGCTCATTCCCATGCCTGTCTCTCATCTTTCCATTCGATGGGCTATTGCTGGTATTTCTCTTACATTCTATGGCCACAACTTGCACAGCATGACAGGTATTTTTGCGTCGAGGACCTTGCACAATAGACTGAACAGTTCTGTTGTCTGCCAGGGGGGCGCTTCCCAGTGAACAAGGAAGGTCGACCGCCATTGGCACATATATACATGGAGGCGGTGCTCACGGGAAGCGAGCTGTCCATGTCAACGGTTGGACGAGGAGTTCTCGATAGATAGTTGATCATCAAGGCACGTCCCGAGGCTACATAGCTGACACTGCGCCCCTCGATACGAGCATAGCCGTCCAGCCATCCTCGCCCTTCTTGCCGCTCTTTGCCCTTCACCCTCCGTATCTCACTCACACAAGCTTTCCGTCAATGACCGTCTCGCAAGGCCCGGAAAGCCAAGAAGCTCTGGTCGCCCAGTTCCGTGAACGGCTGGTCCGGGATGGCCTAACGCACGAAGGGGATACTATGGCTCCGGACGACTTCACCCTCATGTACATATCATTCCGTATCATGTCCACCTACGCCAACTGATGCTCGTCGGCACGCAGGCGGTTCCTGCGCGCTCGCTCGTTTGATACAGAGGCAGCGACAACCATGTGGATCAAGTGCCAAGCCTGGCGAAAAAGCGTCGACGGTGTCGGCATCGACGAGATCTACAAGCAGATGGACCCATACGACGTGAGCACACAGCTTTCGCTGCTCGTAACAGCTCGCTAACGGATGCACACCAGTTTCCAGAACGTAGGGAAGTCTTCGAGTACTGGCCGATGTGGTTCCACAAGACGGACAAGGCCGGGCGTCCCGTGAACATCCAGCACTACGGCGGCGTGAACATGTCCGAGCTCTACAAGCAAATCACTCCGGAGCGTTTCTGGCATTACATGCTCGCGACAGCGGAGAGCATACCGAGGGACATACTCCCTGCTGCATCGCGGAAGGTGGGTAGACAGGTTGACGGGACGTTCCTCATTGTGGATCTCAAGGGGTTCAGGTGAGTAATCTCGTCATGGCTGATGCTCTATCTGCTGGGCAGTGCAGAAATAGTGATTGTCGATCGCAGCCTGAGCCAGTTCTGGCAAATGAAAGACATTGCACGCGATGCCTTCCAAATGTCACAAGATAACTTCCCTGAAGTGTGCGCACCTTATCCTCCTCCGACTCTCTCCTCTGCTAACACTCCACTTCTCCTAAAGCTCATCAAAGTTTTACATCATCAATGCGCCCTCATCCTTTACCATCATCTGGTCCTTCGTCAAGCGCTGGCTCTCAAAGAACACCGTCGACAAGATGGATATCCTCGGATCGGAATACCACCCCGTACTTCTCGAGCACATCGATGCCGAGAGCCTGCCTGCCAGTCTCGGCGGTAAGTGCGAATGTAAGGACGTTGGCGGGTGCAAATGGATTCAGATCGACCGTGAATAATGTAGGGGACGGCATATATCTTACTCAATTTCGCTTTGGGGACTCTGTAGGCTATGTAGATGGACCGCATACGGTGTAATATGAATGATATGACATTGTTCAACGAGCTGACACAAATACAAAAACGGTATCATACATTTTGCGGACTATACTGTACAATCGCAAACCCTCTCAAGTTCTCTCCCAAAGCAAACCCGACCGAGCTCACGCGACATTGAATGCTGCGCTCTGCCATCCCTCCCTACTCTCCTCTTCCTCGATCTTCGTGCTCACCGCATCCTTAAAGCTCTTGACTTTCTGCACCTTCTGTTTCGCCGTCTCCTTCACTTGCTGCACGACGCCCTTCGCCTGCGCCGCTTTCTGACCGATGTCCTGTGGCTCTGCCATACTTTCGGAAAACGTGCCCTTCGGCCCACGCTTCTCGCCCGACAGTACCTGTGGCTCCGCTCCCATGGCGAACTTTGAGTCTTTGTCCTGCTTGATCACGCCGGTGCCCGTTGCAGTCCACTCACTGAGCAGGGAACGCCTGCCCTTTTGCAGATGCCCAAGTTCACTCCAGAAGCCCGCGACGAGACTCGCGCCGCGCCCGAGGCCAGCGTCGCCAAACACCTCTGCACGACGACCGACATCCCACATGAGCCCATCGACCCAGTCGATCGACGCACGAATCTGCTGCTCGAGGACTGTGCGAAGTGTATCGCGGAACCGCGAGAGCATGGCGGGCTTGAAGACGGAGACAAGGATCGGATGGTTACTCTCTTTGATCGTGAGCTCGACCTGCTCAGAGACCCGTGCTTCGACGCGTTGGATCTCGAGAAATCGATTATGTTGTTGACGCTCCTTCAGACCCTCGGGAGAGTTGGGAATGGAGCGGATCACAACGTCGACGTCGATTCCCTGAGGCGGGAGAATGAATTCCAGCAATCCAGTGTACTCTGCAGGGCCGACCGAGGTAGTCTTGTCATTGTAGTAGAACGAGACTTCGCGCAGAGAAAGCTGAAGAGCCTGGACATACACGCGAGTGAGGGAGCCGACAGAAGTGCTGGCCTGACCGCTCGATGGTGCCTGGATGTCGATGTCGGTGATGTTACGAATGTATGCATGCCCAGGAAGAAGGTTGAACGACGAAATGTCGAGATCCTCGAGAACAAATTCGACCTCATTGTCCGCATACTCGGTTCTGCGAGGCTCGTTTCAGCACAAACTTGCAATGAGGGATTAATGAAACGATATTACCTTGGGATGGGGATATCCTTGAGCATACCGACGGCTTTGGGCAAGTAAACGTTGAAGAGGTCCTGCCAGAACCACGGCGCATTGTCCATGGTCGCCTGGAGGCCAGCACTCCCCGCAACAAGAAGACTGTCCTCGATGTCCTCACCGAGTTTCGCATGCGCGCGCTTGACCCGCTTCAGCTCCTTGTCCTGATCGATTGCGCTCTGGAACACGTTCGCCTCCTCCTTGAGTCTTCTGATGTCCTCCTTCCACTTCCTTCCCTGTTCTGTGTCCGTGTCGAGGAGCTCCTTCCACTCTTCCCGGAGCTGCTCCTGAGTCTCTTTCGCCTCATCGCTACGCACGTGGCCTGGTTCGTCTATACACTTGCGCAGGTGCGCGAGAAAGTCGTCGCACCATTTGCGGAGCTCCTCGTCTTTCTGAATGTCGACGCCGCATACACGGACCGTGCCGAACAAGTCATCGAGGCTCTCGCCGCCGGCGAGACGCTCGAGGACCGTGCGGAGGCCGCGGATGCCATTGACGAGGTGCTTCTCGGGTGTAGGATCGTCGATAAAGGTGTCAAGGGAGGTCGAACGGTTGACATCACCAGCCGAATCAAGTGAACGATGCACCCACTTGTGTATGATGTCGAAAAGAGTATTAATTGCGGAGTGATACTCTTCATCGTCTTGTGCACGGTCACAGATCTGAGACATATGCGCATATAGTTAGCCAAGGCGCATATAACAACTGCAAGATGTCACAAACTTTGTAGAACGCGTCCTGGAGCCTCGTGCTGGCGCGGTTCGTAACGTCTTGCGCAGTCGCAATCGCGACCTGGCCGGCACCGATTGCCTTCGAGCCGGCCTTCTTCGTCGAGTCCATAGTCTTCTCGAACTTGGCGCGTGCATCAGTCTGGTCGGCCACATCGCCCGCCTTGTGCTTCTTGAACCCGAGCTCATTGCGCTCGCCCTCCTGCACCTCACTATCGATCTCGCGCAGAGACTCGGCGGTCGCACCAGCACCCTGGGCAACATACTCAGCGGCGTCGGCGAGTGCGAGGCGCATGAACGAAGCAAAGTCATGAAAGACGGAGCGTCCTTCCTGGGAAATATTCTCCCATATGAGGGATGTGAGTTTGCGGATGGCGCGTGCAATAGCGAGTGAATCTTGGTGTGCCTGGTCGGAGTCAACATCCATAACAGACGAAGAGGAGGAGATATCGGCCTCGGATAGATGCCATAGCGACTCCTGAATGAGGTTGTCGCCTGCGCGAAACATCATCAGCATGGGTGTTCGCGCACGTATACGCGCATACGCTCACCGTTCTTGCTCTCCGCTAGCTGCTTGTACGCGATCAGCAATTCGCGAACATCATTCTGGAGAACTTTTCCTCGCTCGCTGAGCTCGCCTCCATCCGCGGTGGGGTGCGCATTTAGGACCGCCGAGTTGAGGAAGACATCGAATGCCTGGCTGAGCTGCTCAGAGGTAGGCATCTTGCCGGCATTGAGGGCGGCGACAACGGCAGCGGTTTTGTCCATTGTGAATTCGAAGCGTTAATGGTAGTGAGAATAGTCGTCAAGGTCGTAGCAGAAAGAAAATAGTGGAGGATGGGGGAGCGGAAGGGAGACGATTATATACCCGCCACTGCAAGATGTGCGGACGCACCACATGACGCAAGTGTAGCGGGAGGGGCTGTTACGCCGTCGACGACGTAGAGCCAAGTCCGCCTTCTGTCATGACCCGCACCACTAAGAATCCACCTTGCCCTGGACCAATGCTCCCCGCTCCGCCCGTCGTGCATCCATTTCTGGTAAATGACTAATATATGCGCTGCCCATCCAGTCTTTTCATGAGCTCCTTCTTCGGCAAAAAATATTGTGTTTGACGCATATATTCAGTGCTCAGCAGAGGTAAATTCGGCGAAAAGAGGTCGAAGACAGGAGGAGCGGTTAGCGATGACTTCAGGCAACTCGATCTGACGCGTTACGTCACGGTCACGAGAACCTTGCCGCCTGTGACTGTGGCGCGGACCATTTATGTACGCTCTGTACACCTTTCCACGTCTGGGGCGATAATTAGAGGCTGCTGGATACCTCAAAGACGTTGGCCAGATGAATCGTTAGATATGGTCATTCATCTCACGTTCGACGCAGCTACAATGGAACCAAGACGTTCGATACCACAAATGATATGTTCGGCATAGCTCGCACTCCCTCATACCTATGGAGTAGGCCCTTCATCTCTGCAGTAGATGCCCGAGTGCTGCGAACCTTCCAGGTCGCGAATTCACTTGCCGTGAGCGATCATTGTGTTCAGTCATATCAACCCAGGAACTCATGATGAACCGTGTCTTCCCCAAAACCATGACAGTCTTTGTGACACAATGGTCCGGGCTTCCTCGACTGGCTTCATCCCTTTCGTGCTGCTGACATTTTTGAACCAGCTACTACATTCGGAGCATATGGGGCCGTGAGTAAGCACCCATTTCGAACTGTGAGAGTAGTGTTTAAAAGCCATAAGAGGTGGGCATTGACCGGGTAACAGACCTGCATTGACGTTCATGTATTCATGCCCTGTGTGTATAGCTGACGTTTCGTGCCGCCCGCTAGAATGGCATGCTGCAGTAATGTATGGGATTGACGGAAGGAGAGGAACGGACCGCATGAGCGCTCGTGTTGCGCATACTGACCGTGAACGTCGGCGTGACACAAACATCTACGACGGTGCGTGATGGGCTGCTCGACACCTGGATGAAATTGAGATGCTCAGTACGCAGGCTGGAGAGTTCGGAAGGAGGTACCAAGGCTGCACCGTTCAGGCTGCGGCAGTGCCACACACGCGTCGAGTCACGTGAGCGCGAAAGACGGCTCTGCATATGACAATCTTGTTGCCAGTTGGATCGGTGGTCTTCGCTTGGATACTTAAAGCGAACCAGCTTGACGCCGTACGTCTCCCCATCTATCACCCGCACTTCGCTCTCATGGCAGACTTGGGTGCGGTCCTCTATGCAGTTCTAGGATTGCCGGTTCTGTATGCTGTCTTGTTGCTCGTGCGAGGTGGAAAAGGATCCGTACGTATACTTCATCGTCATGTTACAGGTCAGTCGTCACTCATCGCTCACGAGCAGCTCGCAGGCGTGCCGACGGTGGGAGGCCCATCATGGCCGCTCCTCTCATATATCGGCGCATTCAACTACGTAGCGCACGCCGCGGACATCATGTCCGAGGGTTACAGAAAGGCACCGACTCCCCCTTCTCATCCCTATTCACTGTTTGACGGCCCCGATGCATAGTACAAGGACAATGGCGGAACGTACAAATTTGCCGAGTTCCACCACTGGACGGTCATGCTCTGCGATCCCGCGCTCATCGAGGAGGTCCGCCGCGCGCCCGAGGGCCAGCTCTCCCAGATAGAGTCCAGTGCTGAGGTGAGTCATCGCATCTGCACCAGGCGTGCGCATATACCTGATTTGATGCTCCCGTAGCTCATGCAAGTCGACTACACTCTGGGCCCGAACATCCACGAGAACCCGTACCACCTCGACCTCCTCCGCTCGAATCTCACGCGAAACCTGACCCGTTTATTTCCTGAGCTGCTTGATGAGATTGTTGTTGCGTTCGGCGATGCGGTCCGTGCGGATGGTGAAGGTGCGGCAGATCCCGCTTGCAATCGTGCATTTGTGCTCTGACCGGTGCATCTCCCGCAGAGTGGACCAAGGTGCCGGCCATGGATACCATGCTGGAGATTGTCTGCAGGACCATCAACCGCGTCGTCGTGGGGCTGCCAACTTGTGCGTTCGTTTGAAATCACCATCTCAAAGCCTGACCGTGCACAGGTCGAAATTCGGACTTTTGCGACCTCAACAAAACCTTCACGATTGACACGTTCACCGGCGCGATGATCATATCGCTCTTCCCCGAGTTCCTAAAGCCGTGAGCGCACGTTCGCTTGCTTTGGCATCCCCCGAAGGCGGATTCACGTTAAACGTGCTAACGTGCCCGCACCTGCAGACTCGCAGCCAAGTACCTGACGAATGTCCCCGCGAGCGTGGACCGGGGCATCCGCCACCTCGAGCCCATCATCACGGAGCGCTTCCACGAAGAGCAGACCCTCGGCGACGGTTGGACAGACAAGCCGGTACGTTCGACGCAGTCGACAGCCTCTCAGGCGTGATCGTTGATGGGTGTCTGGGCTGGTACGTTGGGGCGACAGAACGACATGCTGCAGTGGTGCATCGACACGGCGCAAGGCGAGGAGCGCACAGTGCGCGCGCTCACGCTGCGCATTCTCGTGTTGAATGCCGCGGCGGTACATACATCTACGATGGTGCGTCATGCGAGGCTTGAGATGCGTCTCAGAGGACTGACGTTGTCGTCTGTGCGGTGAGCGCAGTGCGTGACACATGCCTTGTTCTACCTCGCGGCACGCCCGCAATATGTCGCGCCCCTGCGGGCGGAGGTCGAGTCGGTCCTGCAGCAGGACGGGTGGACCAAGGAGTCGATCGGCAAGATGCGCAGGCTGGAGAGTTTCTTGAAGGAGGTGTTGCGGCTCACCGGCATCGGCTCGAGTATGTCACTTTGTCTTACGTGTGCCTTTGGGAGCTGACTCGCTCGCAGGGGCGATGCACCGGAAGGTCATGGAGGACTTTCGGTTCTCGAATGGGCTTGTCATACCTGCAGGGAATTATCTTGCTGTGCCGACGGCCGCAGTCCACCACGATGAGGCCATATACGAGGACCCGGACGAGTTCAAGCCTTGGCGTTTCTACGACGCATCGTCGACGGCGGATGAGGGCGAGGGATCGCCCGATTACCTCGCTACGACGTCGCCGCAGTATATGCTTTTCGGGCATGGTAAGCAGGCGTGGTGAGTTTTGCTTCGAGAGTCTTCGATCGAAATTGATCGTTCCTTTTTTTCTTTCTGGACCCAGTCCAGGGAGGTTCCTCGCCGTGAGCGAGCTCAAGACGATATTGGCGCATGTTTTGATGACGTATGATGTCAGGATGGAGGATGAGGGCGTGGTTCCGCCGACGAAATGTTTCGCGACCGCGCTTATGCCGAATGCAACGGCGGCGGTACTGTTTCGGAAGAGGCAGGCGTAGTCTGCTTGCAGGTGTCGAGCCTTGTTGTGTTGTTATGCTGCACGTTGGTTGTCTTGTCTTTGCAATAAGTTCTCGTTATGGCGGAGAATGCAAGATGAAGTGCACATGAATACCTAAGCGGCTTTCGTGGCCTATTCCGTTGCTGATGTAAGACGCACGCTTGATGCAAGCGAGACAGCGGCCATCGGCTACTTCGAATGGGGGCGAGTTTTTGGATGCTTTCTACGAGAATCGGCGGCTTAGCTTGCTTTGACGGATCCACCCTTGAGGATGTGGCGTTCAACCCAGTGATCGATGCGCGAAATGTGGCCGGTGCGTGATAATATAATGCTCGCCGGACACGAACGTGGGGCATTTGCAAGCGAGTTGCGTTGACCTGCGGCACGTTCTTCATAGATAATCGCTGCATAACGGTTCGTGCATGTAGAACAGATGTCGCGCGCCACCAAATGACTCTGTGCGTCACGCAATTGTACTCGCGAAGGGACGGTGTGCGGAGGAAGAACGTAGACGCGCCCGAAGCGAGTATCGGTGTTTTTGACGAGCAGTACTCTTAGTCACCGTTTGAGCCATTTATAAGACAGATGAGATCTATTCTTGCTCATCTTCATGCGAAAACGCGCTGAATGTTGCTTGACTCATGTCAATTAGATGCTTGCTGTGAACAATATACGGAAGTCAATGCCGTCTTATCAGTATCGGTGCTCATAATTCTTATGAACCTTGTCAGTCGCAACTAGATTATGCCACAATCAATGATTTGCTCGTCTATGCCAGAGAATCTACTCGTTCATACAAACAAAAATCAACCTAACAGCCCGAGTCATAAGTATGCAGCACCACAACACACAGTGCCGTCGTAGAACTTCGGTCAACAAATATCAACATTCCTCGATTGGACCGCTACAGCGGCTTGATGATGCCCGGAACATCGTCAACCGAAATGCATAGTGTTAATCTTCTGTGCTCACTGAAATGTGGATGCTGTGGCATCGTATTCGCTGAGCGGATCCGTTCTTCTTTTCGCGCAAATGCCCGCGCGCATTCAGCCTGTAAGATGGATAATGTCAGACCAAAACTCATATGTACAGGCGGAAGTGCACGTACACAGCAAGTACTGAATTGACGTAAACTAGTTCGGAAGATGATATCAATATGTATGAACAGTCAAAAAGCAGTATTCGCACCCGTGCTCAGGGGAAAGTAGAATATCTGGTCCACCTCCGTGTCAGTGGATGCAGTCTAATTCCGTAAATCAGTAGTCGAGCCTTCCGAGATAAAATACGCCGTTGGAAACCACTCACCAACCCAAGTTGCAGGATCTGCAGCACGCTTCATCAGCAATCAGACTTAACTGTCTCATACACTTATTATACAGTGAACTAACGCACGTCAGCACGATTCCACGGTTGATCGCATAGCTGATCAGTTTCGCAACGATGGCTTGCGTTCTGAGCACAAACACGTTTTTGTCAAAAGCCACAGGAAACAGACTGGCACGCTTGTTCTCACGCTCGAAATCCCGTTGTGGCCTCGCGCAGCACGAGACACATCGAAGTCGCGATACAAATGTCCGTCGCGGATGCAAACGCGGCTTGCACGCGACCTGGAGACTGTACGAAGGGCGTCAGGAAGGGCACAGGCGATGAATGCAAGGGAGCCGTACTAGCACATGCATCACGTCGGAGGCGAGGTCACCGCTCCCATACCTGCTCATTCAAGTTAGCACGGGCATGGACGGGAGCATAGATAAAAAAAAAACCCGTGATACAGACACCATGTAGACCACTCCTGTGCACAGCGAATGTGAGGAGCACGATGAGACGCGCAATGATATAACCGAAAGCGTCCACGTACCCCAACTTCCAGCTGAATGCAAACCAGTAAGAATGCCATTTCACATAACATTTGCTCGAAGAACGCACCGTATGACGTGAGAGCGAGAACCAGCTGTGTCATAATGTCAGCACCTCGTTAGGCTTGGCTGCGAATACGAAGGTTTCTCACACCAGTAACGCCAAGCGGAAGTTGATAGCGCTTGTTCGCCATCACTGTATCGCACGATAAGTGACCATGTTGCCCAATCGGATTAGACACCCACTTGTCCAGATATTGTAGATGTAGAAGCTAAGAGAGATGATAAATAGGCATATATTCACGTTGCATAATATCGGCAGCGTACCTTTGCACAACAAATACTGTAGTGGCCTTAAAATCAAAGTTAGCATGCCTGCTTCGCCCACATGCAATACGCACTCACAGCGAGAGCATGTTCCGCCTGGCACAATGATAATGTCAGCCGCACTTAGCCCTCCATACAGTGCGGATGGCGGACGTACACCATATGTCCTAGCGGTCGCAAAGAACGTTCAACGAAGCACCACATCATGACAGGCATGTTGGAATATCAAGCCTAGCTATACTTAAGTCTGGACTTATCAGCTGGTATTTCTTTTTATGTACTTATCGGGAATTAGCGCCCGTAAGACTTTTCACCCGCTTCGCTCATTCTGCGGGCTTCAGTCCTTCTATCATCAAGGAGCTGAAGCCTGTGAGTACCGATACTGTCCTGCATGAATGCAGCTTACATACTAATGTATCGTAGTTGACTCTAGGTACATACTACTAATACAGTCCTTCTATCATCAAGGAGCTCAAGCCTTTGACTCTAACGTGTGTCCTCCCGTCCACTCCTTTTCCATCCGTTTACAGGTTATGAGCCCCGTGGAGCCATCTTCTAGAGAGCGGGTGACTCCCGAACTCCTGGCCGCACAGCGGGCTGGCTGGAAAAGTCAACACAAACTGATCACTATTGACCAAGAGGCACTCACCGCAATCGACGAGAACCACCACTACGCTGTTCCTGCTGGGGACCATGATGCTGACTGGTGAGTGATCCAGTTGGCAGGTCAAGGGCTGGGAGCTGGGGCAGGTCGCCGAGGTGTGAAGGCTGCAGGGCAGCTGAGGGACAGGTGCGACCAGGCAGAGGTGAGATCAGGAGGTCGAGGGCAGGAGGGTGAGGGCCAGAGGGTTGACCGCGGGGCACCACTGCAGTGATACAAGACACCAGGTGCAGGGGGTGGGCATTGCGTGAGGCGGGCCTACCAGCGAGGTGAGGGTGGAGCAGGGCGTCAAAGGGCGGGCCGAGCGAATGCCGAGTGAGACAGGCCGGCAGTCTGACAAAGCGGCACAGCCACAGCACACGGAGCGCCGAAGAAAAGCCGAGCGAGGCGCTTGCACGGAGCGTGCACGGAACGGAGACCGAGACCCAAATCCAAGGGGTGTCGGAACTGGCGTGCAGATTGAGCGAGCGACGAGCGCGTGGGGGCGCTATAGGAAGTCACCAAAAATGGGCACGTACGGGATGCGTATAGTACGGAGACCGGGACCCAAGATCAGAGGGCGCCGGGATTGGCGTACGGACTGAGGCGGGCAGGGAAGCACATGGAACGGAGACCGGCATCCCTGGGGACAGGGAGTGTGGTACAGGCATGTGGCCCACAATGGGATTGACACAGCAGTGGCTAGGTCGAGGGGGCGTGTTGGAATCTGGGCACGGAGCACAGATGTGAGAGGCCCCAGTGCGACCTGCACCACTGGCGTGGGAGAGTAGTAGCACGCATGTATATAATAGGGTGCAGCTACAATGGGACGGGCCATCGGTTTGGCCCCGTGGAGCCATCATCTAGAGAGTGGGCGACTCCCGAACTCCTGGCCGTGCAGCGGACTGGCTGGGAAACTCAACACAATCTAGTCCCACATCGTCAGTACGATAGCTCGTATGTTACCATAGGATCATGATGTTGGAATATCAAGCCTAAGTATTGACTTACATTCTCATCTATCAGTTGGTATTTCCCTTTACATACTTATCGGGCATTAGCGCCCGTAAGACTTTTCACCCGCTTCGCTCATTCTGCGGGCTTCAGTCCTTCTATCATCAAAGAACTGAAGCCTGTGAGTACTGATACTGCCCTGCATGAATGCAGCTTACATACTGATGTATCGTAGTTGACTCTAGGTACATACTAATATTAGTCCTTCTATCATCAAGGAACTGAAGCCTTTGACTCTAGCGTGTGTCCACCCGTCCACTCCTTTTCCATCCGTTTACAGGTTATGAGCCCTGCCAACCACTACAAGATGTTGCTCAGCAATCATGAATCATCAGTCAGAATCCCCCGCCTCATGGAAGATGGATTGAACTGGGTGCTCTATAAGAAGCAACTCAGGTCTGCCGTGACGGCAAAGACGCTGGTGTAATATCTCGATGGCCGTGACAAGGAGCCTACTGCACCCACAGCTCCAGGGATGGATTCCGATGCAGACGAGGCATATGCAGATGCATACGACACATGGGCAGCCAGACAAAACGCTTCTGTACCAGATGCTACTGGAAATGCTCAAACTCCAGATTATTCTTGAGAAGGTATTCGGAGCTTGAAAGATAGTCATCATCGAGTATGACAATTGCGGTGACTTCATCCAGGCTGAACTGCTCTGACACATGCATGCTCTCTGCTGCATCGAGGAGAAGGACCCTCGACCGATCCTAGACAAGCTCCAGAAGCTTAAGGCTGAGTTCACGACAGCTGGCGACATTCTTGATGACAAGCAATACCACATGCTCATCATCAGCTGCCTCTCAGAGTCTTATCACCCTGTCATATGCACTATGCTCTCCGCTGCTCACCTGGCTTTGATTCAGGCTACTGGCACCACCACGACTCCCACACCCACCATCGTCTCTGATGAACTCTTACACCAGATCTACTTAGTTGCACGTGACGAGTTTGCCCTGGATGAGTTGCAAAGCACTGCAAAAGACTCTGCACTCATGACAAGGCTAGGTGGCAAGGACGTGAGGAAGACATGCAACAATTGCGGTAAGCCCGACCATCTGAAAGCGGACTGCTGGGTGAAAGGTGGTAAAAAAGAGGGCCAAGGACCACAGAGCAAGAACAGGGGGAGGAAGCATGACAAGGGCTCAGGGGGAGCCAGCACAAATGTGGTGACAACAGACAATGACGAGGTGTTCGCATTTGCCATTGCGACCAATTTTTTGAAGGTTGAGGGGGCGAAGCTCCTGAAGCTCATCTGAATCCTCAATTCAGGTGCAAGCTGACACTTCAATCTGGTATGCTCAAATTTCACCACCTTCTGAGACACCGAGTGCAAGCCAATCACTTCAGCTGACGGATGTGTTTTTTATGCCATGGGTGAAGGTGACATTTGCGTCGATACAGTACACAAGGGAAGAAATGTGAAGTTTACACTAGGTGACGTTCTCTACACACTGTCTATGCCCTTCGCTCTCATCTCCATCAGCTGCACTACAAAGGCTGGCTACACCGTCCATTTCGAGCATGATGGGTGCCATGTCATCTCTCCTCGAGGCACCACCGTGTTCATAGCTGCTGAGCACAACAATTTGTACCTGCTACCTGGATCACTGATCCAATCAGCATTCGTGAAAGACACAGCATTGACGACCATGCTGTCACTCACTGAGTTCCACCATTGCATGGCACATGCCCATGCACCTGCCCTCAAGAAGATGGTTGAGGCCAATATCATCACCGCAGTGTGACTCGAGGACTCGACCACCGATTTCTGCGAACCATGCACAAAGGTGAAGCAGACTCGTGAGTCATTCCCGAAGGCACGCTCGAGCCCACAAGTGACCACGTACAGTCAGCGTGTGCACACAGACATATGGGGAAAGGCACCGGTGAAGTCCCTAGCAGGCAAAGAGTACTACATCTCCTTTATAGATGATTACTCAGATGAGGTGATCATCTGCCCTATCACCTGCAAAAGTGATGTCCTCGCTCATTACAAGGTCTACAGCTTGTGGATGAAAACTCACCGAGGTGTCAAGGCCATCAAGGAGCTGCAGAGTAATAATAGACGAGGAGTACATGAGCATGCAGTTCCAGACTTACTTGAAGAGCGAAGGTACGCACCATCGCTGGACTGTGCATGACTCCCTGCAGGAGAACAGCAAAGCTGAACTCATTAACTGTATGCTTGCCAAGCACTCCTGTGCACTACTCTTCGACGCGGACCTCCCCAAATTCCTATGAGCTGAGTCCGCCATGCACACCATGTGGCTTTGCAACTGCATGACGACACACAGCACTCCCGAGTCAACCTTGCACAAATGCACTACCAGCAAGAAACCCCATCTCGACCCCCTACCACATTTTGGATGCACTGTATGGGTGTGCGTTGATGCCACCTCGAAGCTCAATCTGAAGTTGCATCAAGGCTGCTAGGTTGGGTTCAATGCATATAGCAAGGGCCACCGCATGCACTGGGCCAACAAGCACAAGGTATCCATAGAACGCGATGTGCATTTTGTCAAGGACAATGCACCTGTTACCGTCAATGTTCAGCCTAAGGGGAGCCGAACAAGGCCAAAAGTGGCCAGAATGTGCCTACGGGCACTTCACCTCAACCTCCATCAACCTCCAAATCAGCTGTGACCATCACACCATCCAATGCCATCCAGCCATTTGCCGCTATCTCGAATGAGTTGACAAACGTAAATGCTGAGCCGTCACAGCCAGAGAGTGTGACGACCAAGCTGGAGAGCAGGCCTGAGCCAGGAGCCGGATGTCCTAAACGTGTATGTCAGCTGTCTCAATGGATACGTGACTTATAGTCAGGTACCAGCACCACCAGCGAACGTGGCACACAGCTCATTCTGAGGAGCATTCTCGAGCATGCAAAGCTGGTGCAGGATCAGCTGGAGGATGAGTACGATAATGAGGGGAAGACCCTCTACGCTCTGGCAGCCATGGCTGGTGACACTCCATTGTATCGAGAGGCAATGGCCAGACCGGAACGTGAGCTGTGGTGAGAGGTGATGCAGAAGGAGCTGGCGAAGATTGAGGGGATGGGAACCTATGAGCTGGTTGAGAAACTGGAGAATGCGCATGTCATCAAATCGGTATGGTCGCTTTGCAGAAAATGTGACAAAAACAACGAGATCACAAAGTACAAGACACGCCTATGTGCGCAAGGGTTCTCGCAGATCTCAGACATCGATTTTGATCAGACAGCATCACTGACAGCAAGCTTGGCATCCCTATGGCTCATACTCACTCTCGCTGCTGCTAACGACTGGAAAATCCACCAGATCGACTTCAAAAATGCATATCTGAACGATGAGCTCGACGAGACCATCTGTTATGAAGCATTCCCTGCTAGAACATTCAGAACCACGTGTGCTTTCTCACATGTACTAGTCCACAATGTGGACGGAGACTTAGATATAGAATATACCTAACACCTCCAATAGTCACACAGACTATTAGCAGGGTTTATACTGTGGTCAAGCCTAGTAGACGATGTAGCAGTGAGGTCCTCACTCTACCCTTGCTAGGCCTTGGCCGCTACAGCTACTGCACGTTCACCCGCAGGTTACTAGGTTCACTGTTCTGACTCTAGCAAGTGTACGAGCTTACTACCTCTTGAGAGCGGGTACGATTGCATGAGGGTTCTAGAACTGAGAACGTTCAGAGTCACAGATGGAAGAGGTTAGCCTTCCAGCTGCTGCTCTGCCCCTTTATATCGTTGCAGACCTATAGTCTGGGGTACTAGTACAAGGGGTCCCGTTATCCTAAAGATAGGTGAAACACATCGGAGCTTAGCTGCTGTGAGCCAGGTAATTGGTGAGCTAGGAAAAGCGTAGGTGAAATACCTAAAATATGAAATGAGAACCAAAGTCCTGGATCGCAGATCCTAGGGTTAGAACTTGAGAACCCTAGAAGCTGTCCTCAGTCACATAGTGACTAGAAGCTGTCCTCAGTCACATAGTGACTAGAAGCTGTCCTCAGTCACATAGTGACTGATATCACCTGACCGTGATTGGGCGTCTCTTCTAGATGCTTATTCATGGAGATCATGTAACTATGAGCGACGGTACATTTCGTGACATCATCTATATGAAGCAGCCGTGAGGTTTCTAGGTTCCAGGACATGAAGACTATATCTGGAGGCTCCTCAAGGCACTGTACGGTCTCAAACAGGCTGGCCAACAGTTGTACATTTAGCTCTGTGAGCTATTCGCTGGCTTGGGTCTAGAGCGCAGCAAACATGACTATGGTGTGTTTTTTGCCTTTGTTTCTAAGGTCATCATCATCATAGTTGTCCATGTCAACGACTGCATGCTCGTCACCAACACAACGGCCACCATGGTCAATCTCGAATGGGAGCTTGCTGCACAGTTCGAGATCGTCGACCTGGGTGAAGCACACTGGCTACTAGGCTTCGAGATTCGCTGTGACTGCATCACCTGCACCATCTTGCTCTCGCAAGCTGCGTACATCGACATGATACTCGATTATTTCAGCATGATAGATGCCTATGCACTGATGGTCCCAATGGATCCTCACGTCAATGTCTTCGACATCGAGCTCACGGACAAAGATTGCATGCACATGGCTCACAAGCCATATACAAGGCTTGTCAGAAGCCTAATGTATGCCGCCATCAGCACACGTCCTGACATCACATTTGCCACTTCAACTCTGACGCACTTCATGGCTGACCCAGCGCTCGCACATTGGGAAGCCGCAAGATGCATGCTGCACTATTATCACAGCGCTGCCGGACAAGAGATCAAAAAGACTAAAAAAGTAACAGTCACGTGGAACGTGCTGCCCTGATCCCCCTGATCCCTGTAATCCCCTGAACCCTTATGTGGCTGGTGAGCCTAAGACTTACTTGGTGGTGAAGCAAGCGGTTGGAGGTTGAGAGAGATATATGAGGAGCTTGGTAAGCTCAGTGGGTGCTACGGTAGTAGACGAGGAGAAACAATCTGAAGTTTTGTCCTCTACATGGCTGGTCTTATATACATGTACAGCGGGCTATCTTACCTAAGCTACCTATCTACGGGTATAAGCAAATGGTCGTACATGAAATAACGGAATGTCTGAAAGTAGAATAATAGGTGAAAAGATCGATGGCTGCCACAGCAATGTGTGCAAACATCATGCCTATTTTGGTTTCCCTTTTGTTCTCTGATGTGAACATCATGCCTATCTAGGCTTCTGGCTAAACTAATAGGAAGCGAAAGGCCGATGCATAACAATAGTCCTTGTTCCCTTTGTTCCCAAATGGGTGCCTCTATTGTATCCTGGAATAGACAGGTCCGACCGTATTATCCGTGGGCCTAGACCATAACATGTGATGTGGACTATCACCTGATCTCTACATGTCGTGTCTGTGGCTGAGTGGCGTGAGATATTGGTGAAGCACGTGATCTGTGGCATGAGAAAAGTTACATGCAGACTTTGTGGCGAAAATTTGTGACAGCTATCTTAAAGGCACATGCGACCTGGCCTTGACATTTAGTGTGACAACTGACAGTCTTATAGGCTACATCGACGCCGACTGGGCCTCACAAGCCCATCGTCACTCAATCTCAGCCTACAGCTTCCTGTACACTGGGGGAGCTGTCAGCTGGTCTTCACGCAAGCAGCCTCTCATCGCACTGTCTTCCACGGAGGCCAAATGCATTGCCGCATCTGACTGTCACATGAGCTGTTGTGGCTATGCGCGCTTCTTGTGGAACTCATCTTGCCTCTGGCAGAACTGACCCCATTACACACCGACAATCAGAGCACAATCACAATCATGCAGAGCGGGCTCCTTCATGCGTGAACTAAGCATATCGACATCCGATACCATTTTATTCGTGAGGTTATCGACATGGAGCATGCCATCATCGTGTATTGTCCAACCAATGACATGGTCGCTGACCTTCTTACCAAGATGTTGACTCACCAGAAGGTGGAGAAGTTCGCTGGAATGCTCAGACTTCGCCTGGCTTGAGGGAGAGTGTTGGAATATCAAGCCTAAGTATTGACTTACATTCTCACCTGTCAGTTGGTATTTCCTTTTATGTACTTATTGGGCATTAGCACCTGTAAGACTTTTCACCTGCTTCAGTCCTTTTATCATCAAGGAACTGAAGCCTGTGAGTACTGATACTGTCCTGCATGAATGCAGCTTACATACTGATATATTGTTGTTGACTCTAGGTACATACTAATATTAGTCCTTCTATCATCAAGGAACTGAAGCCTTTGACTCTAGCATGTGTCCTCCCGTCCACTCCTTTTCCATCCATTTACACATAATTCATGCACGCTAAGGAGAAGAGGATCCCAATGAAGGTACAACCCTCAGTGCTGTTGAGATCCAGGTTCAACCTGACCATCATGAAGTTGAAGAAGGAACAGAACAGAAAAAGAGGACACCTCTTGCTCATGGAAGAATGTCAGTTTTATAACGTTGTGTTGCCAGTTACAGGTACACCATATGCAAGGCTGTATGAGTGGCATTTGTTACATATTGGCAGCTTCGGTTAGATGAGGTTTGTGGATCAATTCACACCCTTGTCATAAGGTCGTAGATGGCCATGCACGCATTGAATACTACTCACCATGACAGCGATCAGTCTGAGGAAGTTTGCTCCCAGATGGTACGAAATCTCAGTTGAATGTAGGCATATTCGAGGTATTGTGATGAGTGTTATGGCTACATCTGCATCCAGCATAGCAGCCAAAACCAGTCTTATGTGAATATTTGACATATGAGAGGGGGAGTTCTAATCTCACTGTCAAGCAACTATCAGAAATCAACAATACCTCCTTCATCCGTCCATGAGAAACACTGACCTATCAGTGTGAGCCAAAACAGCATGATGCAGTGCTGTGCTGTTGCTTGCTGAACTCGACAGAGAAAGTAGTCCCAGTACTGCAGAGTCAGGCACCGACCAACATCCAACATTTTGTTGAGCAGTGTGGCCCTTGTCAAGTGCAAACGAGAATTGAAAAAATGAGAATCTAGGAGACGCAGTACAATGGCAATGCATCGTCAAGGTCGCTAACTTGTCAACATTGATCTTCTACTGTTTCAGCGGTGTCACCTTCAGAGGACTTGAGATATCATCACGGGACCTGTGGCTACTAGGCTGGGTACTTCTGCAGTGATGACGAGCGTCCGCATTCTTCTATCATCTGCGAATGTTTCAGGACCTTAAAGCTTGCATTTCAGATTAAATCGCAAAGATGCAAAGGATTCCGGAACAACAACAGATGCCATGTAGAATTACTTCCAAAGTCAGACAGTTGCAGAAGTTGAAAGATATTGATGTTGGAAGTAGCATACAGATATCACTTTCGATGGAATGTGCTCAGCACATTGAGAGGGATGAGCGCCAAGTGACGGCTGAAACGTGTTGCAGGGCAGTACCTGGAAACAGAGCGGGAGAGTACAGAAGAGCAGAAAAGCATATAAATTCGCACCTGTACTACTAAAATTGCCATCGTTTGTGGTCCTAACCGGCCTCTCCCTCCTTGCATCCATGAGACAGAAAGGTGGCCGCTGCTTAAATCAGGGCCGCACCATGACTTTCTAGGGTTGAGCCACTGGATTATTATTTCTCACTGGTGCACCTGTAGAATAAAGGAAGGCGGCAATGTGATGGATGAGATGGATGCAAGTTCACTCACGGCAAAAAGCCGAACAAGAGGAGCTGCATATTGTGGCAGTCTGTTTGATCATCTTTGATGTGAATTTAATCAGCATTTTCAGAATTTGTTGTCTGTAGTGTACATGCAGTTACCTTGTCCCCTTCCCAGTCAGCGAAATCACAATTGTTCCATGTGTGCAAGGCTGTAGCATTTTGCAAACAGCTAATTCCTGTGCAAAGTGTAGCCTATGAAATGCATGGGAAGCAGCACATATACACCGTGAGCAAAGGCTATAGGATTTTCTCGTCGACACCAGAGCAACACACGGAAATTAACCCAACGACCAGGATCATAAGTTGGCAATACAACGACAAACAGTGTCATCATAAAATGATTAACAAATATCAATATTCCTCGATTTGGGCATTACAGCGGCTTGATGGTGCCCGGAACTATGAACCATCATTTCAATCGAAAATGCATATAAGAGACGAGTAATCTTCTTTACTTACTGAAACGTGGATGCTGAGACATTGGATTCATTGAGTGGTAGTGCATATTCGGTTCCATTCTTCTTTTCGCGCAAATGTCCCCGCGCATTCAACCTACAACACGGATAATGTGAGAAGAAAACTCATCTGCCAGTGTACGGGCAGAAGTATACGTACACAGCAAGCACTGAGTTGACGTATACTAGTATGAAAGACGATATCAATATATATGTGTCATCAAAAGGAGGATTCGCACCCGTGCTCAGAGGAAAGTAGAAGATCTGGTCCAGTTCCGTATCGGTCGATGCCGTCTAATGCCATAGATCAGTAAATTAAGCCTTCCGATGTCAACAATGTCGTTAAAAACCACTCACCAGCCCAACTTGAAGGATCTGCAGCACGCTGTATAACCAGTCAAACTTAGCTATTTCAAACATGTATACAGTCAACTGCCGCACGTCAGCACGACCCCGCGGTTGATCGCGTAGCTAATCAGTTTCGCAACAACAGTCTGTGTTCTGAGCACAAAGACGTATTTGTCATAAGCAGCAGGAAAGAGAGGTGCGTGCTTTCTCTCACGGTCCGAATCCTGTCGTGGCCTCACGCAGCACGAGACACATCGAAGTTGCGATATATATGTCCGTCGCGGATGCAAACGCAGCTTGCACACGACCTGGAGTCTGTACGAAGCGCGTCAGGCAGGACACAGGAAGTGCATGTGAGGGAACCGTACTAGCACATGCGTCACGTCGGAGGCGAGGTCACCGCTCCCATACCTGCGCATTCAAGTTAGCCTGGACTGGACGGTAGGTCCATTGAACCGTAATACAGACACCCTGTAGACCACTCCTGTCGATAGCGAATATGAAGCACGATGAAATGCGCAATAAACAGAACTATAGGCGTTCACGTACCCCAACTTGCAGCTGAATGCGAGCCAATGAGGATGCCATTTCACAGAACATTCTTCGAAAGAACATACCATATGACGTGAGAGCTAGAACAAGCTGTGCCGTAATTTCAGCACGTCACTAAGGTTTGATTGAGAGTTCGAAAATGTCTTACACCAACAACGGTAAGCGGAACTTGATAGCGTTTTTTTGTCATCACTGCGTCGCACGATCAGGTCATCCGGTGCCCAGCCAGGTTAGAAACTCACTTCTCCAGACATTATGGATGTAGAAGCTGAGAGAGATGACGGATAGGTATATTTACACGTTGCATAATATCGGCAGCGTACCTATGCACAACAAATACTGTAGTGGCCTTCAAATTAAAGTTAGCATGCCTGCTGCGAATCACACGCAATACGCACTCACGGCGAGAGCATGTTCGGCCTAGCACAGCGGTGATGTCAGCCGTACTTAAACCCTCATACAAGGCGGATGGCGGACGTACCCCATATGTCCTAGCGGTCGCAAAGAACGTTCAACGAAGCACCACATCATGATAGATATTTCTTTTACCTTGGAAGTGTGAGAAGTGACAGGATGTTGCCATGCCCTTGAACAAATACGAAGTATAGGATCTGCGCACAATTATTCGATGTTTGATTCATGAGTGAACAGACGATTACAACTTGCCTGCAGGGTGATCATCTCCTTTGCCGTGTCCAGTATCCTGCTAGACCCGTCAGAAATCGAGGGAATCAATGATGGATACACAATACAAACCACAGAGCGGCCGTCTGTGCATACCAATTCAAATCTCTCCCGACCGATAGCAACATGCAGCTCACCAAGGCCTTGAATGAAACATGATCGTTCGAATACCGCTGAACGTAGAATAGAGTCTGCGCAAGCGTAATGCCATACAATCTATCAGCAGATCGTCAGGGCGATTGTTTCCATATCGTCAAAGAATCACGATTCGCGCACGTCAAGGAGAAGAGAATCCCAATGAAGGTACAACCCTCGGTGCTGTTGAGATGCAGGTTCAACCCGACCATCGTGGAGTAGAAGAGTGGAGAAGAAGAAGAAATGGAGAATGGGGAAAGGATGCCTCGTTCACGGAGGGAATGCCTGTTTTATGACATCGTGTTGTCCGCCACAGGCACATCATCTGCAATGCTGTACGAATAGCATTGTTTTTGACAGCTCCAGTTGGATGAGGATTGTGGATCAGTTCTCACGTCAGGCCTTCGCATAAGATCATGAACGGCCACGCATGTGCCGAGCACCGCTCGCCATGAGAGTGATCCGGAGGTTTGCTGCGAGATGATGCGAGATTCCAGTGAAATGAAGACATACCTGACTGTGGTAATCTTCAATAAGCACCAGGTACGGCTCTTTCGCGCCTAGTTAACATGCAAAGGCATTTTGACACGAGTGCTGTCAAGCAACCATCATGAATCAATGATGCCTCCCAACCGATACACGGTATTCCCATCCATGAGAAACATGTCTGACCTATCAGCGTGAGCCAAAACAACATGATGCGGGGCCGGGGGCCGTGCTATCGCTTGCTGAAGACCAATAGAGCAAATAGTCCAAGTATTGCGTCGGGCGGCGATCAAAATTCAATATTTCTGTAAGCGGTGCGATCCTTGTCAAGTGAAATGAGAATTGCATAGACGATCATCTAGGTAAGTGTTCCTAATTCTTCGGAAATCGTGGCGGTCGCAACTCGATTATGCCACAACGATTTGCTCATCTACGGCAGCGTTTTTTATTCATACATACAGACAAAAATCAATCCAACATCTAAAGTCATAAATATGCAGCAAAACGACGCACAGGACGGTCGTAGACTCATTAACAAATATCAATTACAGCAGCTTGGTGATGCCCGGAACTATCAGCCATCGTCAACCGAAGATGCGTAGAGGGATAATCTCTTATTACTTACTGAGATGTCGATGCTGAGACGCTGCATTCGTTGAGCGGTATTGCACATTCGGTCCCGTTCTTTCTTTCTCGCAAATGCCCACGTGCATTCAGCCTATCAGACGTGCAATGTCACACCCAACATCATCTGTGCAGGCGGAAGCATACATACACAGCAAGTACTGCGTTGACATAAACTAGTACCGAAGATGATATCAGTCTATACGAGTAGTAAAAAGCAGTATTCTCACCCGTGCTCATAGGGAAGTAGAATATCTGGTCCAACTCCCTGTTGGTCGATGGAATCTAGTGCCGCACATGAGGAATTCAAGCATTTTGCGGTCAGTTGCGTTGTTACAAACCACTCACCAACGCAGTTTGCAGGATCTGCATCACGCTGTATCATCAGTTAAACTTAGCTGCCTCATAAACGTATAGCAGTCAGGTAACGCACGTCAACACGATCCCACGATTGATCGAATAGATAATCAGTTTTGCAACAACGGTCTGCGTTCTACACACAAACATGTATTTGTCATAAGCGACAGGAGACAGACGGACACGCTTGTCCTTACGGTCTAAATCCCGTCGTGGCCTCATGCAACACAAAACACATCGACGTCGCGATATATATGTCAGTTGCGGCCGCAAACACGGTTTGAACTCGACCTGGAGTCTGTAGGGAGGGCGTCAAGCAGGACAGGCAGTGTATGTGAGAGAGCCGCACTAGCACATGCGTCTCGTCTGAGGCGAGGTCAACACTTCCATACCTACGTAATCAAGTCAGCACGGACCGGAGGGTGGGTAAGGCGAACTGAGACACAGACACCATGTAGACCAGTCCTGTAGATAGATGGCGAATATGAAGCTCAATGGACAGAACTATAAGCGTCCACGTACCCCAACTTGCAGCTGAATGCGAGCCAATGAGAATGCCATTTCGCAGAACATTGCTCGGAAGAACACACCGTATGACGTGACAGCCAGGACAATCTGTTCCGTAACGTCAGCACCTCGTTACGGCTGCGCTGCGAACACGAAAATGTCTCACACCAACAACGGCAAGCGGAAGTTGATAGCGTTTATTTGTCATTACTGTGTCTCACGATCAACTACCATCAGTGCCCGGTCAGGCTAGACACTTACTTCTCCAAATATTATGGACGTAGAAGCTTAGGGAGACGACGGATAGGCATATTTTCACGTTGCATTATATCGGCAGCGTACCTTTGCACGACAAATATTGTAGTGGACTTCAGATCAAAGTTAGCATGCCTGCTGCACCCACACGCAATACGCACTCACAGCGAGAGCATGTTCGGCCTAGCGTAGCGGTAGTGTCAGCCGTACTTAAACCCCTGTACAGTGCGGATGGCAGACGTACCCCATATGTCCTAGTGGTCGCAAAGAACGCTCAACGAAGCACCACATCACGACAGGTATTTCTTTTACCTTGGAAGCATGAGAAGTGACAGGATGTTGCCATGTCCCTGAACAAATACGAAGTATAGGATCTGCGCACAATTATTTGATATTGAATTCATGAGTGAACAGACGATTACAACTTGCCTGCAGGGTGATCATCTCCTTTGCCGTGTCCAGTATCCTACTATACCCATCAGAAATCAAAAGAGCCACTGATCGATATACAACACGAACAACAGAGCGGCCGTCTGCGCACGTCGATCAAGGATCGCTCCCACTCCGACAGAAACATGCAGCTTACCAAGGCCTTGAGCGCAACATGATCATTCGAGTACCGCTGAACATAGAACAGAGTCTGTCCAAGCGTAACGCCATACAATCTATCACCGCGTCGTCAGTACGATTGCTTCTGTTTTGCCGAAGAATCGCGATTCGCGCACGCTAAGGAGAAAAGGATTCCAATGAAAGTGCACCCGTCGGTCCTGTTGAGATGCAGGTTCAACGCGACCATCGTGGAGTAGAAGAAGGGACGGAGAAGGAGAAAAGATGCCTCTTCCCCACGAACGGGAAATGTCTGTTTTATGAGATTGTGTTGTCCGCTACAGGCGCATCATATGCAATGCTGTACGACCGGCATTTGTTGTTGGCAGCTCCGAATGGATGAGGATCGTGGATCAATTCACACCCTTGTCATAAGACCGTGAACGGCCACTCACAAATCGAGCACCGCTCGCCGTGAGAGTGGTCCGGGGGTTCGCAGTGAGATGTAGGCATACCTAACGGCGGAGATCCTCAATATGCACCTGTTACGGCTCTGTTGACATCTTGCATAGGGCCGAAAGCAGTCTCACTTAACATCCTGGGGCAGTATGAGAGGAGCAGTCCTAATCTCGCTGTCAAGCAACTATCAGAAACCAATGATGCCTCATAGCCTGCTATGCTTGTTAGATGAGAATGAGAATTGCAAAGACGAGTACATAGGAGATGCAGTACAATCATAACGGATCATCAAGATCGATAACTTGCGGACATCGATCTTCAGCGGCACCAATTTCCGAGGACTTGAAGTATCTCCGCGGGACCTGTACCTATTAGACGCGTACTTTTGCAGTGTTGACAGAGTTCCTGCGTTCTTCTATCATCTGCGAATGTCCTCGTACCTTGCATCCCGCGTTTCGGATTGAATTGCAAAGAGGCAAAGGATTTCCGGGATATGAGCGGGTTGCCGGGTAGAATGACTTCGAAAACCAGAGAGCTGTAGATGAAATACGTTCAGAAACTGAGTTATTATTTTTTGCTGGATGCATTAATAGATTGAACGACGGCAGCAATGCGATGGATGAGGAAAGAAAGACGCAACTTCGCTCGAGCCACACGGCAGTCTGTTTGAGCATGTTTGTTGTGCCAATGTTTGTTGTGCCACCTCACTCGGTGGTGGCGGCGACGTGGCCAGAGACACGCTCACGACTCTTGTACTGACCTTCAGCCGCTCCTTGGTTTCTCCTCACAACCATGAGCGGATGTGCGTCGTCGCTGTTTCTCTCCTCGCGGACATTAAGACTAACGCGATGGCAGTCCGGTTCCTCAACCTCGTCCGACCATTCCTGCCCATCCTCCCAGAAGTCTCGTCTCCTGATCGAAAAGTACGTGTCTCCAAATCGCGTCCATTCGCAATGTCCATTAACAATTTTGTTTGCTCAGGTTCCTTTCAATCAAAAGGTGCTATGGACGGCCGTGACGCTCCTTATTTTCCTCGTATGCTCCCAAGTTCCATTGTACGGCATCATGTCGTCAGACTCGTCAGACCCGCTCTACTGGATGCGTGTCATCCTCGCCTCTAATCGCGGAACTCTCATGGAACTCGGTATTACTCCCATCGTGACTAGTGGGATGATCATGCAGCTTTTGGCTGGTGCGAACCTCATTGACGTCGACTTTTCGCTCAAGGAGGATCGTGCGTTGTTCAGCGGGGCCCAGAAACGTGAGTAATCCTTTCAAGATCAGAATCTGTGTATCCGTAAGGGGCGGTGTCGCCTTGCACTTATGGTCAATCATCCGTTTGAAAGGTCGCATCGTGCGACTGTCGCAGTATCTAGCACCACGACATCCAGGTCCTACTGAGTTTCATCCACGTGGTGCCGTTTTTGCCAATACTCAACTTTCATACTTTTCTTTCACCCGGCATGCACTGCGTGTTCGGGAGCGGTCTTCGTGCTCTGCCCCAGCGCGTGGGGAATGCCGGTATGCTCTCAGTATACCAGGTTTAGGAGTTCTGCCGTTTTGTATCATCGTCAGCGCGTGCTACCCGTTGTTCGGTGTTCGCATAATTGTTCAAAGGAGCTCAGACTGACCGGGTTTCATAGTTTTCGCGTTGATCATCTCTCTCGGCCAGGCTACCGTCTACGTCCTCACCGGTCTCTACGGACAGCCCAGCGACCTCGGTGCCGGTGTCTGCCTCCTGCTCATCATCCAGCTCGTCTCCGCGTCGCTCATCGTCATCCTGCTTGACGAGCTTCTCCAGAAAGGCTACGGCCTCGGCTCTGGCATCTCGCTCTTCATCGCGACCAACATCTGCGAATCCATCGTCTGGAAGGCATTCTCGCCGACAACCGTCAATACCGGGCGCGGGCCCGAGTTCGAGGGCGCGGTCGTCTCACTCTTCCATCTCCTGTTCACATGGAATGATAAGGGCCGCGCGCTCCGTGAGGCGTTCTGGCGTGAGCGCCTTCCGAACCTCATGAACCTCATCGCGACCGTCGTCGTCTTCGCAGTCGTTATTTACCTGCAAGGTTTCCGGATTGAGATTCCGGTCAAGTCGAATAGGTTCCGGGGTCAGCGCGGGTCGTACCCTGTCAAGTTGTTCTATACGTCGAACATGCCGATCATGCTCGAGTCCGCTCTCACCTCGAACGTATTCATCATCTCGCAGATGCTGTCTACCCGCTTCCCTAACAGCTTCTTCGTCAAGTTGCTCGGTGTTTGGGAGGTACGCCGTGTCCATCTTGTCTTTTATCTGTATTTCAGCTCATTTGCCGGTCCTGTAGCCTCTGGAAGATTCTCCACAGCTCGCTGCCATCTCAGGCCTCGCGTACTACATGTCGCCGCCTCACACCCTCAAGGCCGCGCTGCTCGACCCGATTCACACTGTCGCGTACATTGCGTTCATCACCACCGCCTGTGCTGTCTTTTCCAAAACTTGGATTGAGGTCTCTGGCTCTGGCCCGCGAGATATTGCCAAGCAGCTCAAAGACCAGCAGATGGTGTGTACACTCCGATATGATGCTCGTGCTGCGTGCGTCGATGGCTAATGCTCTGTTTGCGCTGATGAACAGGTGATGGCCGGCCACCGTGAAGGCTCGATGTACAAGGAGCTTAAGCGTGTCGTGCCCACCGCAGCTGCATTGGGTGGCGCCATCCTCGGTTTGCTCTCGGTCGCAGCGGATCTCATGGGAGCCATCGGCAGTGGGACGGGTATTCTGATGGCGGTCACTATCATCTACAGCTGTGAGAATCCCTACTATTCGGGTTGTTGCATTTATTAACGTCATGTGCCATGTTCACAGATTGGGAGATCGGTATGAGAGTATGTGTTCTGACAACCCCAAACTGCATTATTCGTACTGATTTTGGTGCTTTTTTCTACAGGAGGCCTCCCCTGAGATGGGCGCACTTGGAGATTTGCTATAACGAGCATCTCTTGCAGCCGATGAGGGACGTCAGGATGGATCCAATGCAGCGGATTCCATGCGGGGTACAAGAGTACGCTAGCGCGAGATAATATGACTGCGGTGGGCGCGAGGAGCTGCGATGTATCGTAGGAAAAAGCCATCTCATAGGTCTGTTATTTTTTGCCTTTGAAAGATGATATAGGGACGCCACCGAACGCGAGCATAGCCGGGAAGTCTCACTGATCTCAGTGCGCATGGTCATCGATACACTCATTACAAGCTCTTGCGTGTTGACGAGAATCGTGGCGGAGGCTCGCCGAGATGCGCATACGGAACGTACGTCTAAGCTGTGGCGAGCACGGTTGTACGATGTATAGCTGGTGATCGTTCTTTGGTTCTCATCTCTTGTCTTCATATCTCTCATCCCAGGAGGTCCTCGACCAGCATATCGCTTGCGATAAAGCTGCTGCACTTCACAGCGTAGTTCTGACATGCAGGATGGCTGGACGACGGTGGTTAGCCAGCGTATTCCTTGCTCGCATCGGCGGTTATATGTAAGATCTTGGCCGGCCACAATGCCGGAGCTATATCGCTGATTCGCAGTACATCGACTATTGATCTAGTTAGTATTGGTGCCCCGAGTCTGCCTCAGGCCATGGTGTTATGACAGGCCATGGTGTTATGACAACCCTGAGTTTGTACGCGCCCTATACTCTATAGTACGACTGGTGGAATAACAAGCGATAACTTATGACAAACTAGTAAGAACCAGGCATATCCCTCAAGTCCATATGTCCACATCCAAGAACCTTCATGCCTGCCGTTTCCTGAACATCACCTCCACCTTCCTGTTCGGCACGAGCGACGCGACGATCCAGCTCGACAGCTCCTCTGGCCTCACGTTCTCGTCTTCCATCTTTATATCGTACATATACACCATGTGCGCAAGCATCGCCTTGAGCGCGTTCGCCGCGAAGAACCGCCCCGGACTACAAGCGCACACATACATGCTTCAGCAACTCGCCCAGCAGCCTGAGCGGTACACGTGCACTCACCACGCGAACTTGCCGTGTCCAAACGTCAGGTAGTTATCGGCGGTGCTTATCAGGTGCTGCTTGCCTCCATCGACGTCCACAAACCTCCACGGCTTGAATTCGAGCGAGTCCTCGTAGTTCTCCTCGTCGAGGTGGATCGGGCGCGCCGACGCCGCGACGTACGTCCCTGCAGGGATCACCGTCCCGTTCGAGAACGTGAAGTCTTGCACAGCTTTTCGGTTGATCGACCCTGCCGGCGAAGGACGGTTTAGTGTCAGATGTCTCCATATCGGGACGTGCCTCCCTGGCGCGTTCCTGTGAAACGCCGACGACAGGGACGTGTCGAAGGCGGAGCCGTCCCTGCAAGCCCAATACAAATCGCCAGGGAAGCAGCGAGACGGGCGGATGAAAGACAGATGGCGATAACGCCGTGATTGACGATGTCGGCGCATGCATGGAAGCCCCGCCCAATCTCCACGCCGGCGAAGCACGCCCGGCAATCCAATCTCGCCGCACAGAAGCGAAGCCACCTCCCCACTGTACCAACCACGCAAAGAAAACGGAGAAGTACAAGGAGAGAGACTCACAAGCTCCCAGCCCGGTGACACGGTGCACCTCTTTGAGGAAGCTGTCCGCGCGCCGCATCTTTCCCATCGCGGCTTTTGTCCATCCTTCCTCTGCGACGATCGCGTCGACTTCTTCACGCAGCGGGGCGATGTATTGCGGATGCGTCGCCAGGTAGAACAGCGCCTGTGTGAACGTCTGTGTACGTGGCAGTGGCAGGTGAGATGTGATGTGATGTGGTGTGATGCAGTACGAAGTGCGTAGGCGAAAAGGAAGGCGAGCGGACGAGAAGAGAAGCGAGCGGGCAGGCGGGCGAGAAGCGGAATTCGAGAAGCCGTCGTGTCGGAGACGAACGAAATGAGATGGAGACGGAGATGAAGCGTTAATATCAGTCGTCATCGCTACGAATGGGAACACAGCAGGACGCAACGCAACGCACCGTCGACGTCGTGTGTAGCGCAGCAAAGTTGACCGAGAGGACGCGCAGCACTATCGGGCGCACCGCGCGCTCCTCGCCCTCTGCCGCGTCTATCAGCCACTGCAACATGTCGTTCTGCTCCCCAGGCATCCTCATCAGCCGAGGAGTTGCTGAAGGAAGGATCAGGGTGCGCACCGGCTTGTCCGCCCACTCTTTTCCGTGTTGCTCGATCATGCGGAAGCGCTCGAGGATGAGCGGTTCGAGGTGATTCACGCCGCGCTGGATGGCAGCGGGCACGTTCGTCATGAACTTTGCTACCAATCTGTCCACCTCCGTCAGTAGGCAGGATGCGAGTGGTCGGGGACGCTTATACTCCACTCACGGTTTCAGCGCGCGGGGAAAGACCTTGATGATAAGGGCGGCGAGGATGACATCGTACGTGAACGTCTTGTTCAGATCGCAAAAGTCCTGGTTCCGACCTGCATACAGCCATGAGTCTCCGCAATCCACACCAGGGAGCCGAAGAACGTACACAGTGGCAGCCCGACAAATGCCCTGTTCGCCTCCCTGCAGATGATCTGTATCACTGCGTCTTTTGCGCGGACCTTGATCCACTCTGCACGTTTGCGTGTCAGCCGGAAATCCCACAGCTTTGATCGAACTCACGCACCGTCGCCCTTGATCGGCACCTCGTCATTGAACGCCGAGACGACCTCGTCCATGATCTCCGGGAACACGCGGCCGATGTTGCGTGTGAGCTGCGACTGGATGAGCGGGATGTGGTACGGGTTGTGATGGACGTTCGGCCCAAGCGTGTACTCGATCTGCACCGACTACCACGCCACGTTAATCAATCTGCCAACCAACGCAGTGGCGGAGACCTACGCTGTTCGCAGCCTCGGCGAAAGAGAGCACGCTCTCTGGCGCGCGGCACACCTCCTCGATCTCACGCGGGCTGGTGACGACGACGCGCCAGAACGCGAGCTCGGGGTACTTGAAGATGCCGCCTTTGTACTGCGCTCGCAGTCAGCGCAGCTCATCGCATGCAGGCTCGTACGCACCTTGTCGTAGCCTTCCTGGATCATTTCCGAGGCGTGCTTGAACGCGCGGAAGGAGCCGTACCATGAGAGGATGGGGAGCGACGAGCCGCCGACGGCGGGGATGTACGGCATCTGCAGGGCTCATGAGTACGAGAGGGGCAGCGCAAGGGCCCACGCACGCTCTGCCGCCATGACTTGTACAGCGCGGCGAGGACGTACAGCGCGGCGACGCCGAACAAGATACTGGGGACCACGTCGGCGGACATGATTGGTGAAGAGTCGGAGGAAGGGTTACGGGGAGACACTCTGTGCCTGGTATACGTTGCTATATAAGCTACATGTCCCGATCAGATGCCGGTGTCTGGGCATTGGAGCTTTTGTTCATTATTTTTTCTGATCCTCGTCGGAGCCGGGGGGGAGAAGGAGCCGCGTTGTCAACGCACATCACACATGTAGGCGTGGGCGCTCCATCGACCAGTCAACGCATAGAGCAAGTCTGGGTCGTATTCGGAGGAGGCGGAGGCGTCAGTTTGGGGGAGACTCTCACGGGACGACGGACATACGTTGTTCTTGAGCAGAGGAAGGGCAATTCATTCGCTTTCTGCAGAGGACCCGAGTGCGGCTAATCGGTCGTGTCGACGTTGAGAGCCAACAGTTGCGCGGGTCACTGATCATGAATCTGCATGATTAGAGACGGGGAAGCTACTTTGGGAGAGCAGAGTGACGGTGAGAGCGGACGGCGGCTGCATCCAATCCAGAACGGCGCAGTAAATTTGACCCGCGAGGGCAAGGATCAGACAGCCGGCGTGTGTGATTTCCATTGAGGACAGCGGGTACGACAAGTCCGCGGTCGTACGATTGCTGGGACCTGACCAGGAACCATACACCGGCCTCAAACGCCAGGGCAACCTGAGCGCCGACAGCACCACCGTATGTCGCGGACCGCCCAGAACATGGCATATCCCGGCGAGTATTCTGCGATAGGTCCTCGCCGGGGCTGCGTAAGAGCTGCGGGATGATAAGGCGGAGCAACGTCGGCCATGTACACCCATTTATACATTCGCCAAGGTTAGCCTCAACTGAAAGGCACGGACGAGCTGGCGGTGTCTATCATGTTCCTTTCAGACCGGAGTCCTGCGCCCAAACCCTGCACGGCTTTCCAGGCACAGGGATCGTCGCAGTCGACGAAAGGCAGCAGGACACTGAGCCATCCACCCGTGCGAACCTCGTGCCACCACAACACCTGCCAATTTGGGCCAACTCGCTTTTCGATCTGCGAGTTGTCCCGAGTCCGCCACTGCATGTTCGTCCTCCTCTCTTAGTTCTGAACATCTGGATGGCCTGGGACTGGTCGATACGGTGCTCCTCTCGATCCACACTATATCTCGCTAAACTTGTCATCGGGCGCTCACAAGTCATGGCTGCGTCTAACGATCAGAATTGCCGGAACATTGTTCGGTTCAACGACTATTCAAAACTATCTTTCGATTTCAATGGCTCTCGAGTCTCACGACATTCGGCGATGTCATCTGGTCTCACGGATGATATCGACTGATCATGGAAGAGTGGTCCGAAACCATGGATCGCATGCTATGCTGTCTCCTTCCCTGCAGTCAACAACAACTTGACGCATACATGTCTGCATTGTTCCTGACGAGCCATGGTCCACGTCAGGAGAATCTCTCTGTAGCAATCACGCACGTTCACTGCTTCGATAGTCGATCTCCAAGGTCCTGCGTGTGCTTCGTAACCACAGCGGCAACAGTAGGTCCCGAAGCAGCATCCGAACCCAACAACGTCCTCGATGAGAACATCTCGTAGCCCGATGCTCGATCGTCTCTTCACAACTTCCTTCGAAGCACATTGATAGCATGGCCGCACGTCACTGTACCACATCAAGGCGGTAATTTGTTGGTCTGCAACAACATACATCCCTGCCTCGCGCGCTCCCTCGTGCCCCATTCTCCAGCCGATCTCGCAGCGCATCCGACTCAAAACACGTCAACTTCCTGTCAAGCGACTCTCTGAAAGGACTGCACGCGACAGGCATGTCAGCGAGGCATCAAGCCATTCGGGACGAAATTCGGCGTCGATTATCCAATCATCCTCGCTCAAGTTCGACATTGATCAACTCAACAGAGAAAGGATCAAGCTCCACTCGAGCGAGAAGACTTCCTGCTGACTAGACTACCGATGCTCACTCGGAAACTTCTCCGACTCTCGCGCGCTTCGCTTTCTGAGTCATCTCCTCCAGGCGACCGATTGGGGCACTATGCGTCGAGCGTTCTCGTGCATCCCATGTTGTATCGACTGATCGGATAGTGCGTCGCATTCTCTCACATACCGACAGTCGCCCAACTCGACTTCGAATGCTTTCGCTGGCGGTATATTAACTGGAAGTGGCCGAACTTCGGCCTCACTTGTATCATGCATGCGTCTTTGGTATAAAAGTTGCAAAGATCGGGCTGTCAACTTTTCCTTTGCGTCGAGGTATCGAGAACATCTACGTTGCGCGTGCGGCGGTGTGTCGCATGGAGGAAGAGGTGATATGAAGGAGGAGGACGGGCCTTGCGTACGAAAGTCGAATGACTCTGTGCGGAGGAAGAACGTAGACGTCTCGGACGCGCCCGAAGCGAGTATCGGCGGTTTCTAATCAGCAGTCTTGGTCATAATTGAGCTAAGTTTAACTGATGGGCGCCGCCTGCCATGTATATGACAGATCAACTTTATTCTTGCTCGTCTTCATGCGGAAACGCGCTGTGTTGCTCGGCTCGGAAGGCGCTTTGTGGCAGAACGTGTTATCGTGTCTGGGCGCGCAGTGCTTTGAGATGTGCCGACCGCCGAGAGCAGTTGTATTGCGGACCAGCAGGGTCGACCCACGCAAGACGTCATTCGCTTTGCGGTACGTTGCGCGCGACATCTGTTTTACATGCACGAACCGTTATGCAGCAGGTGTTTCAGAGGAACGTGCTGCAGGTCAACGCAACTCGCGTGTGAATGCCCCTCGTTCAACGTTGCCGGCGAACATGTATCATCACGTACCGCGTCGTTTCGCGCATCGATCACTGGGCTGAGCGCCGCATCTTCGAGGGTGGATCCGCCAGACCAAGCTAATGCTGACGGTTCTCACTGGAAGGCATCCAGAGACTCGCCCCCTATCCGAAGTATCCGAAGTCGCTGTCTCGCGTGCATCAAACGTCCATCTTCATCAGTAATGCTATAGGTTACGAAAGTTGCGCAGATATTCATGTGCACCTCATCTGGTGTTCTCCACTATCCAATCAACAACGAGAAAACATTCCAAAGACAAACAACGTGCTGCATGACAAGACAGCAAGGCTGGACACCTACGGTCAGACTACGCCTGCCTCTCCAGAACAATACCCCCGCCGTCGCATTCGACGTGAGCGCGTTCGTTGAGGCATATGGACATCTGCGTTGCTCATACCGAATCGTGGTCTCACGTGAATAGTGGATTCGTCCCTTACACTGTGCACCAAACGCCTGATTGCTCGGACGGCAGACCCAAACTATTGAACGTAGTATGGATTCCGTTACTCTCATCTATGCTTCTATCGCATTTGCGATTCTCTACCTTCTGGTCTCTGCTGCACGCCAATCTCGAGTGCGTATGCTTCTCAAGCCATATGAACATATACAGCGGTATCTAACGTCAAGGTCAACTTACGATGCGGTCCAACTGTTGGAGGCCCCTCTCTGCCGCTATTGTCCTACTTCGGTGCCTTGATCTTCCTCTTCCATGCAGCGGACATTTATCAAGAAGGTTACACGAGGGTAGGTTACTAGTTCCCTGCCCAATGCAGAGTCTGATATGAGGATGTCCGATTGTTTCAGTACAAGGACGGTGTTTTCAAACACGCAGAGTTTCGTGGATGGTACGTCATCATGACTGGATCAACGTTGATCGACGAACTAAGCAAGGCTCCACATGACGAAGTATCCGTCGAAGAAGCAATTATTGATGTAAGCGGTTCTCTCAATCCGTGCACAGCCAGTCGCACTGTATATGACATGCATTTCAACACTCTCGCGGTCGACTACACTTCGCCCACGGATGCCATGCATGGTGAGCACTCATTGTTGCGTTATGAAAAGCGATGGTATGGGCCTCACTCGATCGTATAGTCCAGGTCGATTCTTTGCTGTGAACGAACTTACGGCACTCCTCGCTCATCTCGTGATGACGTATGACGTGAGGCTGGAGAAAGAGGGCGAGGGTGAGTTGCCATCCTCGATGTGGTTCGGTCAGTCATTGGCGCCAAACATGCAGGCGGAGGTCATGTTCCGCAAACGACGGTCATGAAACTAGACTTCGATCTGTTCATGGTTGCATCTGCACTTGAAGATTTGATCATGACGCTGGGGTGTAATCTCACTGAAGGAGAGATCAGAAGGCAGCGGGTAGACTACTTCAACAAAATGATAGCTCGTCCTCAGAGGCCTTGCGAAAAGTGATGGCGGACTTTCTGTTCTCGAACACGGTCATTGTTGTCGCTGCTGGCGCAAACGTCGCGGCGCCGATGTGTGCGATCCACCATGATGATGACTGTTGGAAGGAAAGTGCGCGCGGCGCTCAGGCACGCTCTTGTCGCAAGCGGTCAGAAGTGGCCCGGTCGGATGATCTTAACGACGTGCCCCTAGCAATGGGCCGTACGATAGGATCTGAGGGCAGCACTGGTCAACGAATAATGGACTTTGCGATGTACATACCTCGCTAGTTTGACTCCATCCAAATGTGCTCTAACGACACGTCCCTGGACATTGGATTCGTCTTCGCTTTGTCGCGCTGTGCTTAGAGCGGAAAATTCGACAATGTCGTCTATCGGAATGCAAATGATTTCAGTACATCGCGCGTTTACGACATCGGCGCGAGATTCGATGGAGTGATGGACGATCTGGCCCAAACGACGCAGCCATATGTCCTATTTAGACATGGAAAGGCGCACTTCGTTAGTCGTAATGAACCCCTTTTTATAGCATTATAACTTGTGCCTTCACCCAGGGGAAATCTTCTGCTCTGAACGGACTCGAAGCGGTGCTCGCACATATTATTGTGACGTACGATGTCAAGACCAAAAGGGAGGGTATGGACCTGTCTGGGACTTGCTGTCAAATTTGCTTGCACCAAATGCAGGTGCAGATGTGCTTATGCAAGCTACTGCCGTGGTCATACAGTCAACGTGAAGTAGGCTGCTCTGCACACATGCATAATTTACGAACCCTGTTCAATGCCGACGAGACCGTCATGGGATCTTTTGTGTACCTGCACAATTTAAGCTGTGGACTTCTAAATGAGAGTGTTGAGAAGTAATGAAACTCGACACAGATATGCTCAGGTTGCGGCACGTTGGCCGTTTTGGAACGTGTGGATCGCGAGACAGTGCAGTGCCACAGACGCGTCGAGGTCACGTGGGCGCGAAAGGCGGCTCTGGATATGGCAGTCTTCTTGGTTGGATCCTCATCGTCCACTCGCACTCAGGCACAGGCTGTGGAGGCCACGTCACCGTCGCACTAACCCCACTGCAGATCGCCATGTGCGCAAGCTGTGGAGCTCCCTGGACAGGTCCCGATGGCCGGTCGCGTCCGTCATTCACCGTCGACCCCCGCAAAGGCGTGTCACGCTCTGCCACGCAGCGCCCATCGTCACAATCTCTCTCACGCCGTACCCCTTCTGTGACGCATGTGCAACGGACGAGGTAGCGCAGAATTGTTCAGTCACGACAAGTGCTCGGTATTGCTCTGCAAAATGGGCGAGATTGGACGAGTGCGACCCGGCGGACTTGACAAGAGACGAGTTGGTCTCGCAGTGGCAGCCTAGGGCGGAAGAGGGTATGACTGAGCCAGTCGAGCGTTTTATCTGTTACAAAGTAAGAGGTGTTTCTTATCGGCCGGGTGCTCATCACTCGGGCAGATCTCCTCAACCTGTACTTACCCTATGCTCTGACGTCATATTAGCATCTTCAAGATTCAGATCTTCATATGCAAGACTGTAAGTACGCTGAATATTGATTATTCTGACTCATCTTGCTTACATTCGCGATTTGGGCGCCTGCTGTGGCACTTGTATCTATCTGAGAGGCATCGGAGTGCCATCTCGGTTCGCTCGAACGTTGTTGCTCATCGATGGTCATCGCCAGGGATTGCGGGCCATGGAGTCAAGGGCTTTACTGCCACGAAGTGTTACAGAACGGAGTATTAAACTGCAAATGTTCCGAGATCCCCGAGCATTTGGAAATGACAGACCCGGGTGCTCTGATAGTGGCGTTCGAACGGGCGTCATTTAGTCCATCGTGGATTGCGGTTGAGCATACTTATATGCATCGTTAAAGTATGCCGTCTTTGCACCGCTAGCGCATCGCTAAATAAGCTAGTCTTGACGCCCGTATGCAATTAGCCCGGCACGTTTTGCGCCTTCGTCGCACGCTTCTTCGCCACACGCTCTAGTGTCAACGCTCGCACGATAAAACAAACCAGCTTGACGCCGTACATCTTCCCATCTATCACCCGCACTTCGCCCTGCTCAGTGCTTACCACCCATGGCAGACTTGGGCGCGCTCGTCTGTGCAGTTCTGGGGCTGCCGGTTCTGTATGCTGTCTTGTTATTCCTAAGAAATGGGAAAGGATCCGTACGTATACTTCATTGTCATGATGTTACATGGCAGTCGGTTGTCGCTCATCGATCACGAGCAGCTCGCCGGGGTGCCGACGGTGGGAGGCCCGTCATGGCCGCTCCTCTCATACCTCGGCGCGTTCAACTACCTAGCACACGCCCCGGACGTCATGTCCGAGGGATAAAGAAAGGCACGAACTTCCCCTTCACCCCACCCCCTCTGCTCAGTACTCACTAGCACTGTTCGACGGTCTCGATGCACAGTACAAGGACAATGTTGGGATGTACAAGTTTGCCGAGTTCCGCCGCTGGACGATCACGCTCTGCGACCCCGTGCTCATTGAGGAGGTTCGCCGCAGGCCCGAGGCTCAGCTTTCCCAGATGGAGTCCAATCGCGAGGTGAGTGAATCGTCTGCAGCACAGTGTTCAGTGCCGACGAGACCGTCATGGGATCATTTTGTGTACCCGCAAATTGTAAAAGGAGAGCTAAATGAGAGTGCTGATAAGTATTAAAACACGACACTCAGGTTGCGGCACGATGGCCGTTTTGGAACATGTGGATCGCGAGAGAGTGCAGTGCTACAGACGCGTCGGGGTCACGTGGGCGCGAAAGAGGGCACTGGAGAAAGAGGGCGAGTTGCCATCCTCGATGTGACTTGGTCAATCGTTGGTGCCAAACATGAAGCTTTGAAGGCAGAGGTCATGTTCCGCAAACGACAGTCGTGAATCTGGACTTCGATCTGTTCATGGTTGCATCTGCACTTAAAGATTTGATCATGACCCTGGGACCATAACAGTCTTTGTGACGCAATGGTCTAGCCTTCGACTGGCTAGATCTCTTTCGTGCTGCTGACAACTGAGAACCAGCTTTCACATCCCGAGCATATGGGGCCGTGAGTGAACGCCCATATCAGATTGTGTGAGAGATCAATACGAGTGTTTCACCGCTAGTGACGATGTTTGGCCGCTATAAGACCATTGTCACTGCAACCATGGTACTGTTATTTTGTCCCCACTTTTCCATACGGCGTCTTACTGATTGTTCTTTTAGACAGCCATAGCGGTATTAGCACGCGGTGTGATCTAGCCTCTTCCTCTCTAATGTCACTAATTCTGAACATGCGGGCCGGCGGCTATGCAGGGCGGGGTTCGGTACGTCAAATGATGGCATGGCTCATTCACCAACTAAATATTTTTACTCTCTTAGGACTGGTCTATGATATGTCAGTGTCCCCACGCCGCGCATGAAGCAGATCGTTCTCATCGCTCGTAACAGATACTCAATGGGCGAGCTCGAAATGGCGAACTGGACACAGACCAAGGAACGTCTCTACGGTGGTGTCATAATCAATTTTCATGAGCGAATAGTTATGCCTAGCATCTCGATTCGCCAGGACTGGTGTCAAACCGTACGTCTTCTTATATGGTTCAATACGTGCTCAGGATGTAACTCCGATTTTAGCACCGAGAGTATGCGATCGAAACTGATGCTTTATGCGGCCAATCGAGTATCATACCCTTGTATATCTTTATTGTGATATTTCTATAGCCTCGACTGATACGTTCAATCCCAGCGTGCAACAGCTACTGCAACTTGCTCTGATGAGCTCATACATGGAGCGTTGGATACTCCAGAACTAACATCGAGCACTCACCCAATACATCAATCCCAACAACGTCGATGTTTTCCTCTGGTTCTCCTGTAGCACGCGTGAGGCACACATAGCTCCCGTCGGACGATGCTGACATAACACAGTCATCAATGGAATAGGCCACGAAAGTCGCCTAGCTACTCATATGCACCTCATCTGGCGTTATCCACTATCCGATCAACAACGAGAAATCATCCTAAAGACAAGCACCGTACTTCCTCGCAAGAAAACAAGGCTCGACATCTACCAGCAGATTACGCCCGCCTCTTCCGGAACAGCACCGCCGCCGTCGCATTCGGCGTAAGCGCGGTCGCGAACCATTTTGTCGGCGGGACTACGCCCTCGTCCTCCATCCTGACATCATACGTCATCAAGACATGCGCCAGCATCGTCTTGAGCTCGCTCACGGCGAGGAACCTCCCGGGACTGGGTTCACAAAAAAGCAACGATCAATCCCAAACTCTATCAAGGACATTCGAAGTGAAACTCACCACGCCTGCTTGCCATGCCCGAAGAGCATGTACTGCGCCGACGTCGTGACCAAGTGGTCGGACGATCCCTCACTCTCATCCTCCGTCGACGACGCGTCATAAAAACGCCAAGGCTTGAAGTCGTCCGGGTCCTCGTATATGGCCTCATCATGATGGATGGCGGTCGTCGGCACAGCAAGATAATTCCCGGCAGGCACGACAATCCCATTCGAGAACCGAAAGTCCTCCATGACCTTTCTGTTCATCGCCCCTGCGACGAGTTCACTTAACTCACAAAGGCACATGTTAGGATAAACGGACAGGGACATACTCGAGCCGACGCCCGTGAGCCGCAACACCTCTTTCAAAAAACTCTCCAGCCTGCGCATCTTGCGGATCGACTCCTTGGTCCACCCACCCTGCTGCAAGGTCGATTCGACCTCCGCGCGCAGGGGTGCAACGTACTGCGGGTGCGCCGCGAGGTAGAACAATGCATGTGTCATACACTGCGCTCAGATCAACATCAGTCCTCCCAAATACATACAAATTCAGCACAGCGCACCATCGTGGACGTATGTATCGCCCCAGTATTCGACGCAAGAATGCGCAGCGTGAGCGCGCGCACCGTTCGCTCTTCGCCTTGTGCTGTATCGATGCACCACTGGAGCATGTCGTTCTGCGATCCACGTACCAGCACCAGCCCAGCAACCCATCAACGATCACGCCCAAGAGGCTGTCGACTGCACCGACGTACCGGCTTGTCTGTCCATTCGTCGCCGAGCACCAGCTCTTTGTGGAAGCGTTCCGTGATGACGGGCTCGAGGTGACGGATGCCCCGGTTCACGCTCGCGGGGACCTTTGTCAGGTACTTGGCTGCCAGTCTGCAGGCGCAGGCGCGTTAGCACGTCCAACGTGAACCCGCCTTCGAGGCATGCCAAAGCAATCGAGGGTGCGCTCACGGTTTTAGGAACTCTGGGAAGAGCGATATGATCGCCCCGCCGGTGAATGTGTCAATCGTGAACGTTTTGTTGAGGTCGCAAAAGTCCGAATTTCGACCTGTACATGGTCAGACTTTGCAGTGAACTTACAAAGGAAGAAATTCCAGTGACATACAGGATGGCAGACCGACGACGACGCGGTTGATCGTCCTGCAGACAATCTCAAGCATGGTGTCCATGGCCGGCACCTTCGTCCACTCTACAGCGAATGCACCGGTCAGAGAACAAATTCACATTTGCAAGCGGAATTTTCCACACCTTCACCATCCAGACGGATCGCGTCGCCGAATGCAGCAACAACCTCGTCATGCAGCTCAGGAAACAAGCGGGTCAGGTTCCGCGTGAGATTTGAGCGAATAAGGCCGACATGGTACGGGTTCTCGTGGACGTTCGAACCCAGGGTGTAGTCGACTTGCAGGAACTGCAGAGCATCAAATCAGGTACAGTGCACGTGCCGGTGCAGATAAAATGACTCACCTCGCGATTGGACTGCATCTGGGAGAGCTGAGCCTCGGGCATGCGGCGAACCTCCTCGATGATCGCGGGGTCGCAGAGCATGACCGTCCAATGGCGAAACTCGGCAAACTTGTACATCCCGCCATTGTTCTTGTACTGTGCATCGGGGCCGTCAAATAGTGCTAGTGAGTACTGAGCAGACAGGGACGAGAAGCAAGAGTCGGTGCCTTTTTGTATCCCTCGGACATGATGTCCGGGGCGTGAGCTAGGTAGTTGAACGCGCCGATGTATGAGAGGAGCGGCCACGATGGGCCTCCCACCGTCGGCACGCCTGCAAGCTGCTCGTGATCGATGAGCGACGACTGTCCTGTAACTTGATGACGAATTATACAAGTACCGCTCCTTTCCCACCTCTCAGGAGTAACAAGACAACATACAGAACCGGCAATCCCAGAACTGCATAGACTAGCGCGCCCGAGTCTGTCATGGTGTGAGCAGAGCGAAGCGAGGATGATAGATGGGAAGACGTACGGGTTCGTTTTATCTGTTGTGCGCGTGCGAGCTTTGAAAAGCGTGTGGCGGAGACGCATTCCAAACACCAGAATTCCAAATAACAGAATATTATCTTATTTGGCTATCAGTGAACGCGTGGCTGGTCGCTTACGTAGTAAATAGAGGCGGTGCACCATCATGTTGGGGGGTCCGCTCGTGGGAGCTTTGCACGTCGATTAGTAGCACTCGGAGTCGGAAGATGCTCAGAGATGCGCCCATGATCACCATCTGCTGCACCGCCCGCGGGCGCTGCCAGCACCGAGCCACTCTGTATGCACCACTAACCTGTATACGAGCTGAACATATCTGCACGCTTCCTAATCATGATGGTGATTCCGGATCGCTCTTGCCCGCGCGGAACAGTAGGTTTGACAGCATAAACAGTTCTTTGAAAGGCTATACATGAGGTACTACCCGGAAATGCATCGAACATGGATTGACTATCATTGTCAGCAATTTGAGGTCCACATTGTGACGTGAGATTGAGCAGACTACGCTCGTAGCTAACGTGAGCTCAATTCTTCAAGATGTCGGTTCTTCCGTACGAATGGTCGCCAAAGGGATCGAATAGTGGTCCTGACAATCGGCACCAACTTCTCTGACGTGCTGGCGGGCGTTCAACCTATAAATCGATGGTGAGCACCTCTCGGGCTCCATCGCGATAGCAGCTGCACCCGAAGTACATACACGGCAAGCAGTGTGTTTGCGTACACTTGACATGATAATCAGCCCTCCGACACGCCATCAGAGAGTAGCTAAAGCTCACATGTGCTTGAAGGGAAGTAGAATACGTCTGTTAGTTCTGAGCCTGTTTCGGTGTACTGTTATGAGGGAAGTGTTTAAAATCAACATGGAATGCACATAGTGCCTTTGAAAAGTGGTCGGTGACATACTGTAGCAATTTGGAGGACTTGAACGATGCTTGATGAAAAGAAAACGTGATCATGAGCTGATCAGTGGTATAACAGAAACATCCTAGTATACCCACCAAAGGAGTATCCCTCGATGAAGAGTATAACCTATAAGCCTTGAAAGAATTCCTGTTGTCGTGGAGTTCACCCTGAAACATGTTACTGAAGTGAACTGATCACGGCTGTTGTTACTCACCGTGATGATCGGGCGGTATAGAGTATGCAGAACAAGGATGTCGTAATGTAGACATCACTTGCCAGCGCAAAGAAGGATTGTACTCTCCCAGGAACCTAGGAGTGGTCAATCGTTCTGCATGAAGGTTTGCGACACTTTCACGTACGTTGACGTGCACAAAAACACTCTGATCTGTGGGGTTTGAATACCTAACCAAGGCGATTCGAACAGGAATGAGCCCTGCGTATAGATGTCGAGCCTTTGTATGCTTACACTTCATAGATCACGCCTACAAATGTCGTTCTGCAGCTCGGTTCTATGAATTTAACAATAATGTATTGAATACGAACCAATACTCCCAGCTTTGAACGATAGTCAGTCTAGGCAAGATACCATTGATTGGGTGGAACTCACCTAAGGAGGCGACTACTAATATGAACTAAGGACACCTGTTAGTTCGGAACGTATGATCAACGTCGTACTTACACCACATATTACAACAGGTATGCGTAGACGATGTGTAGGGAGCACTATCAAAAGAGTGTAAGAAACAAGATCAAATCACTGTGTTGATTGTACGCACGACGCAGGAATGTTCGTAAGTAGAAGCTTCAATCTCTTTTCAGCTAAGTGTTCTGCAGTTGTATGTTGCTCAACGAACCATTGCACCGTGAAAATGGTCGCTGTCTGGGGTGCTAGTCAGTGAACAGTTTACATAGACACGTTCTGGAAGCACACAGACCGCAAGTGCATGCTCCACCTGATAGTGATACTGTAAGTGTCGGAAGTACATCAAAATTAAAATGGTCACGCACTCCGTAAGCCCTAGATGATGGCTCAAGATGCAGAGATCGCAATCAACAAAGGAAACGCACCTGTCGATCTTTGACAATGACTCGATATTGGCATGGTTCTGAACATAAGTGTACCAAAGCAGCTAGCATAAAGCATCAGAGTCTTCCATCAAGACAAAATCTGTCACAGACCTGCCCCATTATGCCTTTTCTGGCTGTGTCAAGCAACCTACACACACGGTAGTATCTCAGTGTGTCGTGATGTGTTCAACGACATACCATATGAATGCCACCTGTGGCTCACTTATCATCAGCCAATTAAAGTCAGATCAATTTAATACAGACCAGGGCTTTCAAGCCGATTCTGTCCCCAGTATAGCGGTGAAAGTAGAAACATGTCTGGGCTAACGTGGCTCCATAAAGTCTGCGATAAGTCGCTTAGAGTCGATGCACATAATCTGGGCAATAAGGAAACGCACATGAACGAGAAGAACATGCCAATGAAATAGCATCCTAAGGTGCTGTTTAGGGGCAATTTAGTGGGCAGCATGTGTCAAAATGGAAGGATGAATATGGAATGAACGACAGACCTGCCTTATCTACTCCTGCTCAGCTGAGTTGTTGCTTAATTGATGGCGCCTGATGACGGGGCTAATGATGCTCAACTGATACACGAGACTGTATGCGGGAGACATCACTTAATTTCAATGTTTCATCTGTGTCAGTGCGACTTCGTCTGATAATCATCAGGGAGCGCATCGATTGTATGGAAGACACACTGCTTCTTGATGGAGAATGATATGGCATGCTGAGAACCTTCTGCTCAGTGAACTCCGATGAACCCAAATATTTCTGGACTGGTTAGAAGTGACAACATCATCTCGTCACACACCAGGAATACCCGCAAAGTCGCGCAACGAGGTCGGGCGGGCAAACAATGCCATAAGCGGCCTGTCGAAGTTGCTGTGAGACTGGTGAATATCATGATGTCGGACGAATCAAGACATCATGCAGCCTTGAGAAGTGCATCAGAGTCAAAGATCTGCTTTTAGCAGCTCTTGTTGAACACGCCGGAAAAAATGTATAGATTTGAAACAAGAAGCATTCTTGTAAAGATGGCATGGTACAGTATACCGATCCTTTCGACCAAATAGAGGTGCACAGGTCCAGCGTACTGGAAAGAAAAAAAGCGAGTTGATCCAATCACGGAAGCACCTTTAAGTCAGAGAACCCAATGAGCGGCAGGAGGTCCTGTGTCCTGAAACCAGGTTCATCGGCGACAGGCAGAGAGAGTTCCGAGTCGACGCAAAGGTCAGACAACCAGCGCATATCGTCTCTCGGATCAAGTCTGTCATGAAACGCAAGAGCGTCTGGAAGTGTTGGAGTGCGGCCGCTCTAGGGAGATGGGGAGAATGGGGAGCCCGGTTTGACAGCACGGACACGTGATCAGCGCGTAGGTACAGAGTGACGCGTCATGGTAGTAGTACCTCAGTCGAGTACGTCCACGTACGGCGCGACTGAGGTAAGTCATGGACACTGCTTCTCTTCGCATAGACAAGGACTTACGGTACTGTACTAGGCTACGCTCGTTACATTCACAGGTACAGTACAATCAATACAGAGTCGAGTACATCCACGTACGGCGCGACTGAGGCCACGCTCATTACATTCACAGGTTATGAGCCCCGATTAAAGCACGCATATAGCCGTACAAAAACAACTGACTCATCACAGGTTATGCTTAGGATGAACTTGTCGCTCACCTGTTATCGCTGCTTACTGTTACGGTTTCAGCGCTTCATGGTCACGTGACAGTTTACATTGCACGTGACACTTACTATTTATGGTTCATAGGTCTTGTGGACATATGCTAGGGTTAGCAGTTTTCGTTTTCACGATTTACTCACTCAGGCCATGCAAACTAGACCTTCGTGTTTCAGGTTTCTATTTCACCTGTACTAACATTAGCTCGCCAATTACTTGGCTCGCAGCGGTTAGTATTTGTCTCGGTCTATTTCATTTACTTATGAATAGCTGTAGGAGACCCCTTGTACTAGTACCCCAGACTATAGGTCTGCGACTATATAAAGGGGCGGAGCAGCAGCTGGAAGACAACCTCTTCCACCTGTGACTCTGAACGTTCTCAGTTCTAGAATCCTCGTGCAATCGTACTCGCTCTCAAGAGGTAGTAAGCTCGTACGCTTGCTAGAGTCAGAACAGTGAACCCAGTAACCTGCGGGTGAACGGCAGTAACTGTAGCGGCCAAGGCCTAGCAAGGGTAGAGTGAGGACCTCACTGCTACATCGTCTACTAGGCTTGACCACACTATAAACCCTGCTAATAGTCTGCCTGACTATTGGAGACGTTAGGTATATTTGGTATCTAAGTCTCTGTCCACGTTGTGGACTAGTACGTGTGAGAAAGCACACGTGGTTCTGAACGTTCTAGCAGGGAACGCTTCATAACATTTGGAAGAGGTTTTTCTATAGGTCAACCTATTTAGGTTTAGAACCACTTATAAGAAGTGGGGTCTACTTGGACGCTACAGGGAAACTATTCCGTCAAGTCCTCAAACAGGGGTATCCAATTCTAGGGAAACTCGGTGCACGTTGCGGCCTCTGCACCACTTGGAAAAACAGGGAGAACCACTCTGAAGTATCCGTTGCGGCGGTACTTCGCCCGAGGAGGGAAAAACAGGGAGAACCACTCTGAAGTAGCCGTTGCGGCGGTACTTCACCAGACAGGAGATTCTCGGAGAAGCGGAACCTGGGTACTTGTTGCGGCAAGGTACCTGCTGAAGGCAGTGTCGACTTGAGCCCCACACTCATCGGAGGAGCTGGGTATACAGAAGACGCCGGTTAAGGGCCACCGAAAGAAGGCACCCACACCTTGCCGAGGCTGGTTTTCAATCGAGAAAATGCAGATAGGAAGGACGATTGGTTATAGGACACCAAGCAGAGGAAATCAAAAGCCAGAACGACCAAGCGCTCAAACGGGAGTAGGCAGGAGTTCGACGTGACTAGCTGGGCACGTTAAAAAGCGAGCACAGGATATCCGAGGTCAGAAAAGAGACTAGGACTCCGACTGGTTGACGTTACCAGGCAAAAGACGTACGCAATTGGTTAAGGGCCACCAAAGATCAAAAGGCAGGAGTGCGGAGTTTTTGTTACAGGAACGAACTCAAGCACTAGCGATTACCCGTGTGGTAGTCCAGAAGAGAAGCCCTCATCTGAGGCACACGTTGAAGACGTGCTAAAGCCCTTCCCAGGGAAGGCAATCCAGGAATCTTAGGACAAGACAAGATTCAAAACGACTACTTTCCGAGAACACGACCCGGTATCTGAGGAAGACTCCCCAGAAACACGACCAGGGACTTCTGACGAAGAAGTACCACCATTTACGCTTAGTGACGCCACCACAGAGGAATTAACAGACCTCTACGACAAAAAGTCGACAGAAGCGGTTCAACTTCGACTTCAATTCAGGCTAGGACGAGCCTACGAACCAACAGATCGCCCAAGGCTAGAGCAGCTCGAGGGTGAGATCGAAGAAATAAGACAAGTTCTTCGCGGAAGGGAAAACTTTGACGAAGAATCTCTACGACTCTTTGACGAAGTAACAGAACTTCCACGAGGAGAATCAATCCAAGTTGAACGACAGGAAGGGCGTTCACAGGAAACCGGTGGATTACAGCCAGTTAATCCTCTCGGAACAAGAGCAGTCCCGTTCGAGAGATCTATCTCGGACAGTACTACTCGACCAGATTATCCAGGAATCACACATTCCCCAAGGGACCAGCCACCCCACCTACCCAACGCGCCTGGAATCACACGTTCGGTTTCAACCGGATCAAGACCAACCGGTAGCTTTCAGTTCTCAGGAAGTATGGCCACACACGCACGATATGACCCGGCTCTCGGACCACCAGTCCATCCCGGAACTTGTACCGATGTCATCTGGAATGAGTACCAACAAGCCTTGGCACTCTATGCACAATATCAGGGAGCAATCCCCAAGCAACCAGTGGCACGAGAAAAGAAGATGGGAAAAATCAAGGAGTTTAGGGGAGACAAGCGAGAATATGCATCGTTCCTCCGAAACGTGGAACGATACCTACAGGCAAACACAGGAGTCTACAATGATGACTTCAGCAAAATTGCCTTCGTTCTCTCCCAAATCGACTCCTCATCCACGGCAGGAAAGTGGGCCGAGTCATGGGAAGCCAATCAAATGGCAAAACACGGAGATCTTGGAACGTACCAGGATTTCAAGATGACGCTTACCGAAAAATACGGCGGCGTCGCAACCAAGGACCAAGCCTGGCAAGTACTTCTCGAAGGAAAGCACAAGCAAGACAAACAAACCGTCGACGAGTATATCGGAAATCTCGATATCCTCTACCGATATGCCGAAATCGACGACGAATACGCCAAGCTCATCCACTTCAAGCGAGGCCTTAATGAGAAACTTGCAGAAAAAGTCTTCATTACGGAAAATCCACCGACAACCTATGCAGCAGCATGCAAAGCCGCAAGAAAGGTCACGGATCTCCAGGACATTCATAGCGGAAAGACAAATATCTTCAAGTTCATCTCAGGCTCTTCAGGAAGCGGAAGAAGGACAGAGAAGGACCCTGACGCGATGGACGTCGACCGGATCTCCCCAGAAACCCATAAGAAACGTTCTGTGGATGGACTCTGCTACAACTGCGGAAAGCCAGGACATGTCGCCGCACAATGCCCAAATGCAGAATACGATCCGGCACCAGATCGCTCAGGAAAGACAACTTCATATGCCAAGACCAAGACGTCCAATTCCAGGACGAAGAAATACCCCGGATCTGGCAGACGAAGAAAGACTTCCAAGCCGACTAAATCTTACTCCAAGGGAACAGAGAAGAAACGCCGACGAGTAAAAAGAGTCGAAGAAAGCGACTCTGAGGATAACTCGGAGGAGTCGGAACAGGAAGAATCAGAATCCTCATTATCGGAAGAATCAGAATCTGAGTCATCAGAATCTGAAGAAGTATCCGAACAAGAAACGGTGGTTCACAGGGTACGAAGAGCTCGCCCTGTTAAAACCAAAACAGTTCGCAAAATCAGGCAAACCAAGGATGAATCCAGCGACTCAGAAGAATATGTGGTCCGGAGATTCATCCCCAAAGAAGAACTCGCCAGAATACGACGGGAAGATGCACTCAAAATGCGAGGAGACCGTATTAAGAAACGCAACATGACGATGCCTCATCTCGACGATCTTCTGGAATTTGGAGACAATCCAGACAGATATGAATACGCACGCCGATATCCACCACCCATGGAGAAAGACGATCCAGAGGGTTTTGGAATTGGGTGCGCGTTGGGATCTCGTGGCATCCAGATGAAGAAACGGTCCCCGAGGAAGTAATCATATGAGGCGATATCAAACGAGGAAGCGAAATATACCTCAATATCGTCTTCCAAGATTACGATGGTACAAGAACCCGAAGTATTCCAGCAAGAGCCTTAGTCGATTCTGGAGCAAAAGGAATGTTCATCAATGAATCGTTTGCGAAGAAAGCAGGACTTCATCTTCTCAAATCGCAGAAGGAAGTCAAAATTCGTAGTGTCGATGGAAGTCCCATCAACTCTACAAACCAACGATTCAAAGGAACTGTTCGTGCAGGAACGTACGAATGGAATGATGATTTCCTTGTAATCGACTTAGGAAAAGAGGACGTGATCATCGGCAATACGTGGCTTCATGATCACAACCCAATCATCAATTGGCAAACGGGTGAAGTCAAGGTCCGTCA